TACTGACCATCAGCAAAAGTGAATGAAATGAAAATGTTCTGGGTGGGGTTTTTTCTGTTTTTTTTTTAAGAGATTATCTATTTATGAACAATCTTAAAACAACAGGTTGCTCTATCCAGTACAGCATGCAGGAGAAAATCTAAAAAAGCAAAAGTCACAACAGCGCGTGAGATGGAGACATTAAAATGTATTAGTAGATCTATTAACTGATTTTTGACTGTGGTGGAGGAGCAGAATGTCAAGGAAGAAAATACATTATTAAAAGCTTAGAATTGGAAACAGGGAAGGAGAGTCTTCACAGAATGCATTCTAAAAATTTTGCCCTTGGTAATATAAGCCGTCTTTCAAAATTCTAGATACTATGGGTCCCTATGTGGCATTTGGCTGTTCTTTAGGGGGAGTTAATATGGGGCAGCTATATGAAATGCAGTAGATAAGTCTATAATAATTTTAAGATAACAAAAATATTTAATAATCACCAGTTGCCATTTACCTTTATTTTGTTAGCCTTATCTATCAAAAGTTACAGTAGCTGATGTTGAGCAAAACCATGGTCTTCTATACTTCCTCGACTGATTAATTAACTCCTGGCCTGAAAATTCTATAATTGCCTTGATGTTTGAGAGTTAATGTTGATCAAGTATCGAATGGTTTTGGTTATATGGTTCAAAGTGGCAGTTTCCCAGTTATCAGCAGCTTTGAAGAGGCCAACTCCAGACGTGGTTCATTCTTCTCTTGGATGTTTTCCTGCATCTGGGCAGCTTATGTTCCTGTCTGTGAATAGGATTCTTCATAGGAATCAACCAGAAAAGGTCTTCTACCAACCTCTGGTTTCAGATTTTAAAAGAATGAAAAAACTTCAACGTTTGTGTGGATAAGGTTTTAAACAGGTTTACTGTAGACAGTAAAGAGTTCAGAGTTTACTGTTTTGGGTCACGCTGGGTCAAAAAAGGAAAAAAGGCAAAAAGAAAGCTAAACACTGAATAGTTTGAGAAGGGCAGGTATGTTCAGGCTACCTTGTCAGATATTAGGATGAAACTATGGTAGCTTGGCAGTTTCCCCCTTCTTATTAGCCAGCTGGATTACAGCAGCAGTCCATCCAAGGAAGTAATTCTTACAACCAGATATCTAGCTTCTCTGCCAGCTCACATTTAGTTTTGAAAGCAATTAACTGCAAGGAACTTGATTGCATCCAGCCAGTAATTTCCTTTGGACTCAGAGATAATAACAGAAACAGAACCAGAAATAGTCCTCTGATGCTGTACGCAATGTAATTTAATGCAATTCTTCTACCCTTCATCTAATATGAATATTAGGCAACTGAGTTAAAAACTTTATTTTCTTTTTTTTTTTTAAATCACAAAGCTACTGTAGTCCCCCTCGGTCTGATTATAGTGTATGTGTTTTTACTGGGGGTTGCACATATTTTCATTATAGCTGTAGCATTTTTGTTGTAATTAAGTCTGTGCCAGTGTTTCTGTTATGACCTTGCTTCAGCAAATTACTCCAGGCTGAAACTTGATGTACAGGAGCAAAATTCACTCTTTGCAATGCACAGAAAATAGGCTGTGGTTCTCTGTGAGGCAGTAGCATACTCTCCACTCTTTTTTCTTTCTCATCGCATTATCTTTCATGTAAATCTCAGTTTGGGTGCAATTCATTTTAAAATTGGCAATAATGTGAGGAATAACAAGTATAGAAACAGTTTTTCTGATGTGAGTCCTAGAAAAAAAAAACAGTAAATGTAAATGCTTAGCTGCACCAAGAGGCCAATGTAAAGGCACTCATAAAAGAATGTTAGGGGTGGAGGAGAGAGAAATCAGAGAGGAAGCTTCCCTATGAACATAAAAATTCTTGGTCTATACTGCTTTCTTCCTCAGGGTGAACCTGCCAGCAAGATGACTTTTCAACCTAGAAGTCTGTGTGGTCCATCTAGCTTTTCCTTCCCAATCATCAGGTTGATAGTGGGGTCATATGAGCATATAGCTATTTACAATGCACTTCTATTACTATGGCTGGTGGCTAGTACGAAAAGAGGTTATTTTCTTTCAAACTATCTCTTCTCCACAAGTAGAATAAATGAATGCGTTCCACCCTCTTCATGAAATTGTTCTCCTGAGGGAGAAATGCTTCTCACCTAGGTTAGGTACTCTCGTTAGGTACCTTGAGTGACTGACCCTTTATGCCCCTTCTTTTGTCAGTGAAGAGACTATATCCTCCAGGGCATGATTCAGAACCTTAAGGCAAATAACCTAACAACTTTGATTTTCCTTTTGCTTAGAATTTGTACGTTTTATCAGAAAGGAAGGGTAATTGAAAAAAATGGCTGATAATTCTAATTTTTAGGCAAAAAAAATATACCAACAGTTATTTCCCCAATTTAGAGTGTTTCCTTCTGCTTTTTAAGATTATTTTTTTTTAATATTTTAAAAGCAGATTGTATTTCTGATATATAATCGTGGAAATAATTAAAGGTTACTGTCTGTATGCTTCCCTCTCTGTCAATGTATCTGCAGGACATAGGGTCAGTAGAAAACTGATGAGGCCAGCAGGAGATTTGAAGCTAATGTGATGTTATGCTCCTAATATCCTCTTCCTAATCATGTACTTAGGAAAATGAGTTAAGCACAAGAAAATACATGCACAAAGGTATATCCATTTTACTTATATTTGACAAAGACCAGTTTCCGGAGTTATTTATTTACATAGTGTTAAAAGAAAAAGCCCTTTCCAATTAAAAAAAAAAAATAAAATATTTGTTTATCAGTTAAGGAGAACAAACAGCAGGAGTTTAATACACAATCAGATAACAGATTAGTTTACAAAGCCATACTGCAATTAGAGATGCTTAGGTTTGAGTGTGCTCTCCTTCCCCCTCCTCCCTGCACCTCTGGTAGATACATCCGTACTTGCAGCTTGTTGCAATTTAATACTGTGGCTATGATGTTTGGCTCCAGGAAGAAAGAGCTTCACAGATGAGTTATGTTAGCTATAATGTCTAGCCATCGCTTTATTAGTTACGTCTCCATGAAGTAAAGTTAAAATATTTGCTTCATTTGTAGACTGAGGGGGGCTCCTACCTCAAAATTATTTACATAATTTACAGCAGCATTTTTCTCTGCAGTGATGTAAGAGGTTGAATTCTGGTTTGAAGCAGAAACAACAATTAGAAACAACAGTAGTACGTTAGCCCACTTACATGCATTCCTTCTCCTTTGAGGACCTGGCTTGTCAGCAAAGTGTAATGTTCTCAAATATAATGACTGCTTTAAAAAAATAGCCAAAAAGAACCCACAACCCACCACCTAATCAAAGATCTGAAAACAGAAAACTTAATTGAGTGGAACTTTGGACAATTTCACACGATCTTCATGCTGCCCCCTGGAAATAATACCCACTGTAACAATTTTTCTTTCATAGTTTCTTACTTGTGTTCTCCTTCTTTCATTTCTTCATATGTACAACATCAAGCAAACTACCATCCCTGGGAATGTAGGATGTGAAATGTAAGTGAGGGACCGTCAGCAAAACCTGCTACATTCCTGTGATTTTATTTCCTACCTGGCAAAACAGCTTGCACAGTTTGTATTTAGTTACAATTCAAATAAGCCATTTCAGAATAGTTTTCCAGAACTCGTAGAGTAGCCAAAAGTAAATAAGGAAAATGAATAAAAATAGACATAAAAAAATTAGGATCTTTAAAAGTGATTTGCAGTTATCTGTGAAGCTGTACTCATAGCTAATGCTTTTCTCCTCCTTTCTCTTTGTTAGATGTTTTCCATACAATAATTCTGCTGATGATATAATAGCTCTCAGATATGAAAGCATTCTCTTTAGTGAATGAAAGCTGACTAGGTTCAAAGGTAGAAGTGTACATAAAGGGGAAAAAAGCAAAAGCCTCAATGCTCTTTTTTGAAACAGGATTCCATGAGTATATGAAGATGTGGTTAAAGAAAAAAAGACCTACTACATCTCCATATTCACCTTCAACATTATAGGTGAAGAGTGTTTCCTGCCAAGTCACAGTACCATTCTGTTAGTGCTTGATGTAATATTTAGCGTTGTTTCGGGATGTGTGATCATGTGATTCCTACTTTCTACATGGCAACCAATGCAGAAACAATCTGTCAGGGACTGTCATTGAGGATCAATGCTAAATGTTACTCAGCAGGATGCAGACTGTATCTCGGTGGGTGTCCTCCTACTGTGCTTTGATTATGTTTGTTGTAAAGAAAAGCCTGGTTGTGCTTACAGCGTTCATATTTCACCCCCTCTGTGGACGACATGTTACAGCCTCTTGATTTGTCCCCGTTTCAACAAGATGTGTTGTTTAAAAACATATACACAGCATTTTCAAAGATTCCTTCAGTATAATCTGATTATAAAGGGGTTAGGTGACAGTTTGTCTCTGCTGCTTATTGTGTGGCTTAAATCTCTGAGGACAAGCTGACTGAACATCCACACAATTTAGAGTCTGATGGCAGCTGTGGTTCAAAAATGTTGTTTTGGGCCAGACCTAGGGTCATCTGAGGAGGCGCATTGGCATGCACCAAGGTAACAGAAAGATTTTATACTACTTACTGCTTCTTGTAACTTTGTCAGATGACAATACTATAGGCTGGCTCTGTGGGGGGAAGATTTAATTAAACGGAGTGGTAGTTTATTAACTTAGAGCAAGAAGGGAAGGGAAAACAGTGAAATTTTTTTGTGCTTTACTGTGTGAGTGGGGAGTAGTAAGCCTTCAGATAAATCTTCATCTCTGAGCATTGATAAATAGATAGGCTTATACATTGTGAAAGAGAAAACAGATATTACACGGGACAGCAAGCTGACCTATTGCATTTCTAAAATGGTATTTCAAGCAAAAATATGTATTTTGAAGAGGCTGTCTGTGTTTTCTGCATGGCAAAACCACTCACTCATGACTTCCCATTGCATCTTAATGTTTGCTGTCTTTAATACAGTTTTATAACACTGGTGCTTTACTAACAAACTTCCAGGCATGAACGAATACATACTAGAAGACCTTACCATGTGGATGGAGCTGACAAGTACTCTCTAGATGACGATCTGGTAAATCTAGAAGTTCTAGATGAGGTACTGTACTGTCCAAGTAGCGATTTCTGACAATTGTGCCTCACATTTTGCTTGTTTCTGCTTTTTAGGCTTCTTTTAACAGAATGAGAAGAGTTCCTTCTTGCAAGCTTTTGTCTCACCATGGCAAAGGAATTGTCACGTGACTGATCTGCTATCATCTCTTCATTAATATTCTATATAGTGACATAAAAGCAGTAGCAGTGAATCCTTATGTGGAAGAATTTAATTATGAGTAATGCTAGTTTAAATTATTTTGTGAGTTTCCTGAAATGTGAAGTTTAGTCATGAAGATCTAGATTTAGGTGATTTTTCATAAAATTGATGAATTTATATAGAGTTATATGGTATCTACAGCTTCTGGATAAAAAGTGATAAAACAATATCAGTTGCATATTCCACTATATCACCCATATGCAGAGTATCTGTAAATTTTTGTTTTGATGATCCTTATATTGCATACCAGCAAGAAAAAGACAATACTAAATTGTGCTAGTGTCCTGTTCAAAACAATCTCTTACTACGGCTTAAAATTTAATCCTTGAAAAATTATTATCCTTGTTTCATGGTCAAATAAAAAACTAAATGGAAGTGTACTATGAAGTGCAGCAATAATGTGCATGGACATTTTGTTTTCAGAAGGTTTGCTTCTCAGGCTGGTATAACAAAATACGTACTAATCTGGAAATAAGAGTTGCTATTTAACTTAGTTTTATGGCATTTGCAAGAGTTTTGGAAGTATTTGATTTTGTGGTGTTGGCATTTGAAAAATAATTAGTAACATTTATAATAAGTATTTTTTAATCAGTATTCTCAGTATATTTACAGAAGCCTTCCTAACTGGGAAAATGCTGTTTAACTATCAAACTTTTTGTAATCTTCTCAGGATACAATTATCCATCAGCTGCAGAAACGCTATGCTGACTTACAAATTTATACTTATGTTGGAGACATTTTAATAGCCTTAAACCCCTTCCAGAATCTCAGCATTTATTCTCCCCAGGTAAGAGAGATTCCAAGCTGTGGACAGTACTCACTTTACATTTTATATTAATACCACTGGCTAAAATGCTTAAGTGATTTTGGAAGCTAGGACCACAGACTAAACCCCAGCCTTTTCTTCTTCCAGAAAAGTGTGGCTACGATTTTATTTATTTATTTATTTTTAATTCCATCTCATTTGATTTCGTTCCTTTCTGCTTGGTGGCACAAATTCCACAGGAGGGATGAAGATTACCCCAGCCACAGCTGTGCCTCTTGCCTAGCATTTAGGGCTTTCTTCTGGGAAATAGAAGATGGTTCTCTGAACCTCCTCGTGGTGAGGCTGTTGCTTCCTGAAGAATTGCACTGACTATTGGGTTATTACATGTCCTGCGCTATCAGCTGCTTCTTAAAAGAAACAAGTGAATCAAATGCTGTAAAGATAGAGGCAGCTTAATTCCTTACAAATATGAAGGGAGGTGAAGCCATAAATCTTAGTCTCCATGGGTGCCTAAATCGGGGTTGCGGGGCCAGATTTCAGATTCACTGTTATCTTTGAAATTTCTTATGTGTAAGTTGGGTATTTCCTTGGTTGAATGCTTGTGTTTAAAAGTTTGTTTGTTGTGATGCAGTTCTCTTCACTGTCTTGTGCGGGAAACATCGTAGTGCATTTTAGGTGTTGTAAATTGTATTCTAGAAGTTGGGCAGTGCCAAGAATTCCCACTCTTCTTCCAGGTGATTCAGTGGAAATTCTGCAGTAAAACAGGCAACTACCTTCTGTTGAACAGGCAGAAGACAGTGACTATCCTCTTTTCAGTTCTTAATTATGTAGCTCAGTTGTGTATTTTGACTACTGTGTGTTCTTTTTAAAATTTAGTTCTCCAAGCTTTACCATGGTATGAAGCGTTCATCAAATCCCCCTCACATATTTGCTTCTGCGGATGCTGCCTACCAAAGTATGGTTACATTCAGCAAAGATCAGGTAAGAATCTATTCATTTTGCTTTAAATTTCATATTAATCATACTGCCACTGTGCTACATGGCTATGGCTAGTGTTCTGTTATGTTATACTTTGGGAAATTTTTCTTTAAACATTTTATTCCTACATCAGGAAAATTGGAGTAGAAATCCAGTGAGATTTGGGAATTGGAAGAGGACACAGTGGCATAAAAGAGACTAAAAGGTCAAATAAGAGGACAGGGTTACCTGACAAATCTAGTTTACTGGACCACCATGAAGTTCTGGCAGTTTACACCAGCTGCAGAGTGTTGCCTGTGCACTCTGATTCTAACCTATCTTGCACTAGATATTGTAATAATTTACACCTGTAAAAACCAGGAGGGTCTCAATGCCACAGCAGATTAACAGAGTTTGAACCACTTTTCCATAGCATAAAGACGCTATCAAGGAATGGATAATCAATTCCTTTAACTACAAGTCACAAGATATAGGAACCATTAACTAATTTTTTTAGTAAAATATGTTAAGGATAGGTCTAATATAAATGTAATAAGGACACAAATCCAATTATATAGCAATGATTTTAATGAGAATGAAAGATCATGCTCTAGAAGCTAGATTTCTTTTTATTATGTTCTTAAGGTTGTAACTTTCTACTCTTTCTAATTCAACGTGCTGTTAGGTTCATTAATATTATTTTTAGTTATCAAATCCTCCTGATTTTACCCTGCACGTAACACAATAATTCATAGAAAATGCTTTTTTAAAATCACTAAAGCAGAATAAAATAATAAAAAACCTGCAATGAGAAAATGCCAAGCTAAAAAGACAAAAGGGACATTGAAGATGAAAAGGAGTTCTACTGAGTATGTGAAGTACACTGGCCTGAGAGATGGCTAGTACTTCTATAATTGCTTATATGCTCTTTCTTGGAGGTTTTAAACAAAACAAGTACTCATGTAGAATAAGTTATGTGAGAACTTGTTATCTGGGGAAAAAAAGTTAGTTTTGACATCAGCCCATCAGGCTAACTTTGTACATCTATAATATTATATGTTTCATACCCGTTTAGGAAGTAATTTGCATTTAGATCTAAATCAGTTTCCTATTTTTGATTTGCAAAGGATTACAAGAGCATGTTTATCCCCATTACCTGGCAAATGTTATGTTGATTCTTCAGGTAAAGGTACATTAGATAAGCACTGTAGCCAGATCAAAACTGTATTGATTCTGTTTATTTTATCCCTTGAGCTTTCCCTTGTATTTTCCTGTGAAGCCTGAAAATTGACTCCAGCTCTAACATTTATCCTGAAGCTGAAGTCATGTTCTGGCCAATTCTACAAGAGTTTTATGAGTTCTACAAGAACTTACAGGCTTTAACTGTATAAATTGTTGTACAAGACTTCTAGTCACACAAAGACAATTAAGTTAGGTATCCTAACCCCGTAAATCCATCACTGGGTTGTAACACACGAATCTATGGAACTGCTTAGTGTTAACATTTTAATTATATATCAGTTGATACTGTCCCTTAAGTAGACTAATACTTGTATTGGAGATCTGTAGAACGCATGAAAAATGAAGAAATAATAAATGCTGTTAGAATTCTTACTTGCTATGACCTGAAGTGTTAACGCTTCAGTGTTCAGGTGTGAACTGGCCTTCGGGATGTACTGGCCTTCTACTTCCATCTCATCCATGAAGCATAACAGCAGAGAGGAGGATACCCAGTGATTTAGACCATTCTAGCTAATCCCTGAGTCTGGAAGCCATTTGGAGAGCCTATAAAATACCATGTGTTAAGGACTGCTCACTCAGGAAGAATGGATATGTTCTACCACAATCATCCAATGAACAGATGCATATTCTTCTGAGATGTTCAGATGCTAGTTTGCTGTTCTAGCCTGAATATCAGTGTCACTGACAGAATAGTCTCTCTGCACAGTGGCAACTATTTAAGATTATTTTTAAAGCCGGGAGCAGACTTTTGGTCAGTGAATTAAATACAGCTGTACCCTGTGTTTCAGCATTCATTTATATGAAGGCAATGCAGTAAGCTCAATGCACTGTTGAATTATGTTACATCAGCTGAGCTGTGGCAGTTTTCTGAGCGTTAAGCATTTGAAACAAGCCGTATATGTGCATGGTGTGTGTTAGCCTGTAGACGTGGTCACTTGTTTATGTGTCAGTCACTGCCTCACACACGTACATGTAGCTATTGGGCATTGCGAGACACATTTTAGTAACCTAGGGAATAAATTATTACACTGAGCCTTTGCTGATCTTACCTTTCAGAAGGGAATTGACCCTTAAAATATTTCATAAGCTTGGTACTAAATATTAAGTAACGGATAGGAGCACAGATAGAGCATTCAGATAGGAGCTGAAATCGACCATGTGGTGAGCTGTGCACTTAACTGTTTTGTCTTGTGTGTTCAGTGTATTATCATCAGTGGGGAAAGTGGTGCTGGAAAGACAGAAAGCGCCCATCTGATTGTCCAACATTTGACCTTCTTGGGAAAGGTATTTCTTAACCAATCATGTAAAACTTTGAACAAATCCTCCCAACCCCACCCCCAATTTCCACTTTATTTAATTTTTAATACTTAAAGCTGTTCATGTGAATTGTCCCACTTGAGCTAAGGATGGGGTAATCATGCATGTGAGTATTGAATTCAGATACCAGAGTATGACCCACACCAAGCCATTCAATATTTTTTTAAAGAGAAGGTATCAGATCCCAAGTGTTCAGTGCATGTAATGTTTATCACATATACCATTGTTTGTTTATACAATAAAGAATGACAGATCTTGCTGTGGCTCTGATCTTAGAAGCTCTTATACATTTAAATGTTATGAGTACTGCTATTAGTGCAAAATGATGGGAAAACGTATTGTGTAAGATTAACCTTAAGTAGATGTGTGTAGTTTTTGATGGTTTTGGTACTCTAATTATATGACACCTCAGAGGCAGAAGAATTTCAGAGAAGGAAGTATGTGATTTTTCCCACCTGTGGGAAACTTCCTCATCAATTTATTGGCCCTACTGTTGTCTAAGTGGAAAGGTTAATGCGGTATCTGCATCCATACAAGCATGAGAAATGGATGCTATGCTTCTGAAGCAAGAACTGGATTGTGGGTAAGCAATATATTCTTTTAGTGATCCTTCTGATCTGTGTCTGTTCTGTCAAGGCCAATAACCGTGCTTTGCGAGAGAAAATTCTTCAGGTGAATCCTCTGGTTGAAGCGTTTGGTAACGCCTGCACTGCCATCAATGACAACTCAAGTCGCTTTGGAAAATACCTGGAAATGATGTTTACACCCACAGGAGCAGTAATGGGGGCAAAGATTTCTGAATATCTACTTGAAAAATCAAGGGTCATAAAACAGGCTGTGTAGGTATATTAATTGTCTGTCCTTTCACATTTGGATAACGTTTGGATTTTGTTTAATTCTCCAAATTTCTTTATTTTAAATGCTTTTGTGTCTTCTGCCAAAGCAGTGGTCCTTTGTACGGTGCTGTGATGACAAGAATAACCAGTTAGGTTCTTTTTGAGTTGAAGCCAGAGCTGCTCCATTCTTTGGAGAAATATTGTGGTTGGCTGGGTTTTCTGTGTTTCACAGTTGCTGATTCTACACCATTAAAACAAATGGGAGATTTGCTTCCTGCTTCAGTGAGCTCATGATAAGAACTTCTACTTTTACATTGTACAAGATGCCGCAAGAATAAACACGTATGCTTTAAAAGGATACTTTTTTTTTTCCAGGGGAGAGAAAAATTTCCATATATTTTATTATATCTATGCTGGCCTTTATCATCAGAAGAAACTTTCTGAATATAGACTTCCTGATAAAAAGCCTCCTAGGTAACTATCACTCACTTGTTTTAACTGCTCCTTGTAATTACCTATTGATCAGCTCTTGCTTTCGGTATGATGCCTTAAAAATCTCTCTTAATCCTTCTTCATCCCTTAAGGATCTTTTTTAATCCTCCCAAGGAAAGAAGAGGATGGACAATAAGGCAATACATTATTTGTATTTGTTTGAGAACTTGAACTATTTAAAGAGGAGGAGGTAGAATCAAACTTATTATTTAGATATTCTGCCATACTTTCAAATCAGGACAATCACCTTATGATTTCATACTGTAATGCTTCAGTAAGAACCCAGAATATGCTTTGGAGTTGTGTTTTTTAATTGATATTTGTACTTTGGGTGCATCTGATCTGTATTGGGTGAGGGGATGTGTGTGAAATGTTGGTAACACTATAATAGATATTAACAAAGAATAAGCAAAAGTTAGTGCAACAGAAACAAAAACTTTTTATGAATTAGCATCGAAGTGCTGATAAAAGGCTCCAAAATGCTCAATTGGAAGATACTGAAATAAATGTTCTTTCCAGTTACTGAGGTACTTGCATTGAAGTCACTGGAGGTTGTACTGGCATATCTGCTAGTATGGTGCTTTCTTTCTCCCGCTCTATTTAGATATATTGATAATGAAACTGGAAGAGTAATGCATGATATTGTTACTAAAGATTCCTATGGAAGACAATTTGAAGCGATTCAGCATTGCTTTAGAATTATAGGATTCACTGATGAGGTAAGAGATCCAGTTGCTAAACCATTGTTGACTTTCTTTATAAAAACCATCTCCAGTGCTGCCTGTGCACAGGCTGCCGTTTGGTTTTGTGGATATGCACCTGTGCCACAGAACCTCTCTTATGACAGAAATGAACCGTGAAAGCATAACCTCACACTCGGAAGCCAAGACCAGCCTGAGGTGTCAGTTGGTACTCAGGCAAGTCTATTCATAATTCTGTATCACACTGTTTTCTGTATCAATGGGAGCTTACTTGAATTTGTAGAACTTGGTCTTGGAGCAAGCTACAAGCTTTAATAGCCATCCCAGTGCGCAGCTTTTTCTTTACTAGCCTACATATGATCTGTATATCTCATTGGATTCCTTAAAAGTGCTTCTTGTCATCTTTTACAGGAAGTGTACTCAGTGTACAGAATTCTGACTGGAATCTTAAATACTGGAAATATTGAGTTTGCTGCCATTTCTTCACAACACCAAATAGATAAAAGTGAGGTTCCCAACCCAGAAGCCTTAGATAACGGTAAATACATTTTAACATTGCCAGTTCTGTAAATGCAACTTGACTGTATTTGTAAGAATCTCTGAGTCATGGTGACAGTTGCACAATGCTGGTGATTTCTACTGCATAATCACAGTCATGTATCTTTTTTCCACTGTCTTTTAGCTGCTGCACTCCTAAGTATTGGGTCAGAAGAACTTCAAGAGGCCCTAACCTCCCACTGTGTTGTGACACGAGGGGAGACTATTATCCGAACAAACACCGTGGACAAAGCAACTGATGTGCGAGATGCCATGTCTAAAGCACTTTATGGCCGGCTTTTTAGCTGGATCGTAAATCGTATTAATACGTTGCTTCAGCCAGATAAAAATATATGGCAAGTTACACATCAATGAATCATGTGTATTTACTGTGCATATGTCTTTGATGGGTTCATCCATTTGTATATTTTTGATTTTGCGGAAAGGGTGCTGTGTTTATTTTGGCTAAGGCTTCAAAATGACTTTCATGCTCTGATACTGAATTCTGATTCCAGGACATTAACCCCAACATTTTCAAAGAGCTGAGTGGAATTTAGCTACTGAAGTCACTGGAAATTGGGTGGTTAAAATGCTGTACAGTTCTTTAAAAATACGCTTCCTATGTAGTGAACATTAAAATCATACCAAAGGCTGGTAAATAATTGGAGTACGCTGAAAAACTTTAGTATGGATTCACAGTCCTTACAGTCCTTCTGCTTTTGTGAGCTAGTAATAAATACAGATCTCGGATTATTATTGTGCTATTGCTTTAGATGTAAGTGATGATTTTTTATTTTTCATAATTACAGAAATGTTCATATTGTGCATCCGTATGATTTCATTGCCAGGTACTGATCTGGCTGCTTTGGCCTTTTCAAGCAGCTCTAGAGATTTTTAGAAACAAGAGAACCACTTGGGGGATGTGAAAATGCCTCTGATCTGAGATCTCTACTTGGCACTTCACTATATCATATACACATGTCCTCAGCCATACTTGCAGTTCTAGTGGTAACTCCGGTAGGAGTATACTTGAGTTAGCACATGGGCTTTTAACAGTCCAGCTTGTAGCAGCAGCTGACTTTGTAATTGCCCTTCTGACTGAGTATAGCCAAAACATACTATTAAAGCTTGACGCCTTTTGTCTACCTGGGACAATAGATTTTATTTGGGATCTGCCTATTGAAACCACTTGTTTTAATATGGCTGCCAAGTGTCTGTTACTATGTACCTATGATTCTCCTGCCTTCTTCATGGAAATCTGCAGCAAGCAAATGGAAAACAGAAGTATTAACGGTGTTGAACAAATGCACAAGTTGTGTGACGTTTAAACACACTTTTTCTCCTTTTTGCAGCAGATTGAATTGATTATGCAATCTTGGTTACCATGTTTATTTTTATTTTAACTTGATGTTGCCCATGATGAATTTTGTTTGTATTTTCACATGCAGCAATGCTGAAAGTGGGATGAATGTTGGGATACTAGACATATTCGGATTTGAGAACTTCGCAAGAAATTCCTTTGAACAGCTGTGCATAAATATTGCTAATGAACAGATCCAGTTTTATTTCAATCAACATATCTTTGCGCTGGAGCAGGTAAATTCAACTCCGAGGTCTAGTTGAATCAGCCGTCCTGAACCATAGATCCTATTCAGGAGTACATTATAAATTATAAAATGGATATGTGATTTAAATGCAAGATAATGACATCTTTCAGTTGAAGTTTTTTAAATAATGTTGTTGAGGCCTATAGAGTATTGCTGTGAATCATAAATGTCCTAATGATGCTGCTGCTTTTACTGGTTCATTATTAAAACTGTGCTGGTGACTTTGTAGATGGAATATCAGAGTGAAGGAATTGATGCTACTACGGTGGAGTATGAGGATAACCGTCCACTTCTAGATATGTTCCTCCAGAAACCCATGGGTCTCCTGTCTCTACTAGATGAAGAAAGTCGATTTCCTCAGGCAACGGACCTTACTTTAGTTGGTACGTGCAAACAAAAATTCTGGGAAATAACAAATATATTTTGAGAGGGTGGAATGACATCTTTACTCAAGTTTTACGTGCCTTTAGTTGTCCTGCTGAGGCCTTGCCTTTTCATTTGATATTTTAAGTATATTTGTCATTGTGCTTCATCATCTTTCTCTGCTTACCTGTTTTATCTTCTTTTTATATTGCAAAAGTTATCTTATATATCAGGCGTCAAGGGCTTGCTGTCTTTCCAGTGTTACAAGGAAATAACTTGTGTCCTGTCCCTGTATGTGAGGTACATCAAGCAACATTTATCCCCATTTACTGAAGGGAAGGCTGAGACATTGTAGAATCTGGTGTCTAGGACCACCCTGTGAGCAACATTAGTGTTGAGAGTAAAATTTAGATCTCCCAGGCTCCTAGCCCCATGTTTATCCAATTAGAAAATACTGCTTCGCTCCAGATTATCTCATCATAAATAGAAAGTGTGTGTTATTTCTGGTGTGCCGTCTGGCTGAATATTTCCCTTCCTTCATGCATCTTTTACATATATTTTAACAAATTTTGGTGCCAACTTGAAAGCATGCGGTGCATGCCATGTTTAAAACTGTTGTCTTGCTTTTATTTGCTAGAGTTACATTTTCCCCTGCAGTATGAAACAGAGTTCCAGTTCCTTCAATGGAATGTGCAACAGACACTCAAACTGTTAGTCAGAGAAAAATAACAGCTGCCTGTTAAATTGCACGATAAATACAAGATTTTTCACTTCTGCTAGGCTGAGTTGAAACTCGAATTCAGGTCACAGATAGAATGAATGCTATGGTTTCTTCCAGTCCTCATTTGTGCACTAAAGCTGTGTGCCTTCCTGTGGGTCCTATAAATCAGTTAATACTGAATATTTAACTTAAAATTTCACAGAGGCACATTCCTGGGTCCAGCGCCGATCAGTCTTACTGCTGATCTGTACACAGATCAAGAAGACAGCAAAGTGGGATATTTTGCCCTCTCCAGATGTGCCAATCATTAATTCCGTCACTACCCCCCACCACCTCCCCGAAATTCCAATTTTGCTTTAAATACAAGCTTGATTAAATATTAATAGAAAATAAAACCTAACACAAAATGCTAATGGATTATAACATTAGAAAAAAACATTTTAATAATATTTTCTGACCTACACAACATGACAGAGAATTCTATCAATTGATTCCGGCCTCAGGTCTCTAGTTGCTTGTTCAGATAAAGAAATATAATAGCAAGTTCTACAGTATCAGCCTAATTTAATTACAAAATATTAAAGAGCATACAAAATATCAGAGGGCATAAAAGACATTTTTCTTAGAAAGTGGTGATTCTTTTTCTGTCAGCTTTTTAGAGGTACTCACAGGAAACAGAAAGCCTCTTTTGAAGAGGTTTTAGATAGAAGCCTCTTTTTCTGTGGAAGTCCAAAGGTAAATGAGAGATGATCCCAACCTGAAGACATGAACATATACTTAAAACACGATGCACAAAGCTAAGTAAGCGGGGAAAGGAAGACAGAGAAAATACAAATAATAGGTATTTAAGAGAGCAATATATATGCACAGCTTTGAATGTACATAGTTGAAATAAACCTACTCCAAACCCTATATATGCACATAAGCAAATTCATAGCAAAACATGAGAAGTTGTGACACCCTCTTACTTGATAATTTTCCATGCACAAAACTGTCCACGAACAGTGGGATTTGAAAGACAGTCTTACTGGGCTAGTTTAGAATGAGCTGTTCCATTCAGAAATGGTACCTTGGAAGAAAGCACAGAGAAGCTGGCACACAGCTATTTCTGAGCAATGTGATAATATATGTGTGTATAGTAGTTCTGGCTTCTTCAGCAGCAAACTGTCCCAATTAAGATGAAGATTTTAGTCACTCCAAGCCATTTATATCAATGTCTCTTCTCAATGCGTAGATAAATTTGAAGATAACTTACGATGCAAATACTTTTGGAGACCAAAAGGAGTAGAACTGTCATTTGGTATTCAGCACTATGCTGGAAAGGTAAGGTCATGTGATTTTTGTTTAGTTCAAATAACAGTGGTATGATCATTATTTGTTTTATCCAAAGTTCCTGCTTTATGATTTTTTTCTCATTTTAAGAGACAAAATGATAAAGTTTATGGAAACGTAGAACCTACAATAAAATTTTCTCGTGTATCAGTCCATTTTAGAACCTATCCCTAGGGCTCTTTCACAGATTGCGTAGACAATAACCACCTTTTATTCTGAAAGAAATCTGGCACCAGAAACACCTTTACTACAGGCATTTCAAAGGAGCCACTCTCTTGAGCCCAAACAGGGTAGGCGATTGTTAACATCATGTTAATGCCACAGTAGTTATGTGTGAGTATGTATAAGTATATGGATAAAATGCAATGTAAAACAGCATCTGTAACAGAAGTTAAAAACCTATAGATAGCATTGGAAAGACTGGAGCTAGCTAGCACAGATGTTTTCTTGTACTCTGCAGCACCTAACTTTTGTTCTCAGCAGTCCATGTATTGTTTTATATGCGGAATAACGGTCCAGTTGTTTCACATAACATGACCTTTGCTTGTGATTTCAGGTCCAAATCTTTGTTTTTAAACAAATCAAAATGAAATAGCCGTGTTTTATGTAGTTATCAATGAAGTCTCATCTCTGGCTTATTATCAGACTTCAAAATTTTAAGATATGTTCTAGTAAACTTGGTCCAGCTTTCTGGCTTGTTAAGAATAACTGTATATTTCACACAGGTTTAGTAAATTCTTTGTACCCAAATGGCCAAGTTATAAAACTGGCTAGTTCTCTATTGCGGGAGAACATTCAGTTTGTGTGTAAACTAATGGACTCCAGTGGAATTAGGCTAGAGAGGAATATTGCTAGTGATAATAAAACAGGTCTAAAAATTACTGGAATTAAAAAAAAAAAAAGTTAAGCAAAACCAACTGATTCTTACATGAATCCAAGTAGCCAGGCATTAATTTATAAGAAAAACAGTTAAGATAATTGAAATAGATGAATGTTTTGTTTTCCTACTATCATTTTCGAAGCAGCAAGAAGCCTATTTTAATGTACCTAGACGTGCAACTTACTTCTGTTCTTCCAACAGGTCTAGTTATAGATCACAAGTTTGGTGCAGACACCAAATCATCTATGACCACCTGAGAACCATTTCTTATTTTGCACGTAAACTGTCAACTTACCTCATTAAAGTTTATCTCTGTTATATTGCTTCATGCATACCATAGTTTGACATGACAAAGCATAATGCAACATGATTTAAGCCATTTAACCCTTAATGATTTAAGCCATTTAACCAAATTTGATGTGCAGTGACATGCTATGAATATAGGTGGTGTTTGTAACCAGTTCACATTCTTAAGACACTGCTGTAGCTGTACACTTTTAAGTCCTTTGCAGATAATTCATTGGCTTGTCAGAACCAAACTAACTTGTCTACCTGGTCATCTTGACCGTTCACATTTTAAAGAACACAGTAGTTTTGGGGTAACCCTTTCTGGCAACGTATCTGATTCTGTTTCTCATGCTAGGTATTATACGATGCCAGTGCATTCCTTGAGAAGGGCACAGAGATATTTTGTAATACATAATGGTTTTGCGAACTTCAGAGAACAAACTTCTTCAGCAGCTGTTCTCTAGCCCATTAACAAAAACAGGTATTTTCTGCACAGCTTTGCTAACTTTGCAGTCTCTTCAGCTACCTATTCCTCTAAAACTCTAGTTGTTTCTGGGCAAATTTTTTAAATTCTTTTTCAGCTCTGCTGTTTAAAGTTTCCTAGATATCTAAAATGTTATGATCTTTTTCTTTTTTTTTTTTTTAAATATGTGGACATGAATTCTTCTAAAAAACCCAAGGAGCAAGATTCATCCCTCACTCCAGAGAATGGCCGATCATCTGACCTGTAGGGCAAGAGCTTATTCTCAGAGCAGGATGAGAATATGAGAGTGGTTGTTCCTTGGTTCTTAGTCCTTTACTAAGTTCAGTTTTCAGTTGATAGATTCTTGTGTACCGTGTTTACGGTTCATAAATCATGTAATGTAGGGCAAGTTGTTTTGGAGGTAATATCTATCTATTTAGATGCTTTGATGCAATACATAAAGCTTCTTACAAATTATAAAAAACACATACTAATCTGCTAGAATTAATTAATTCAGTTGATTTAAAGTTTGTTGACACTGACTTACGTGAAAGTGCACAGATCTATAACTAAAAAAACAGCAAGATGAAGTTTGATTTCTCCATAGATGCTAGAATACCAGTAACCTATACAAATTGTAGTTCTGCAGTATACATGCAAACAAGCCAACAAATGTACACATCTCTCAATACTTTCTACGTTTTTAAAGTATCTTTTTTCATAATGGGTAAGAAAAAGATGTAATAGTAACGAATAATCTAAATATAATGGATTGTATTAGATTGCAAAATTATTGTTATCGGATATGACATATACAAATGAGGCTGTTGTATTTTCAGGTAGAAATAAGTGTACACACATTAGGTAGTGCTGTGTAGGCTTATTGTACGTGGGCTGTAGACGCAATTCTGTGCCTGTGCAGCAGCTCTGTCTGGAATTTCTGGAACCTCAGTAGCCCAGCCATAGCCTCTGGTGATGCCTTTAGTCTCTTTTGAGATTTCTATGTAGAAAAAGAACATCAGCAGAAAAACATATATTGGAGCCTTCTTTGCGTGTGTAAAACTGGTAGGAAAATATCTGTTTATATTCTACGTAGGATAGATTCCTGTTACAATGTCTCTGTTCTTTTCCCTGTAATTAGAAGGCTCTGGATTACTCCCCTTCAAATTATGCTTTTAGAGTTCCTGAGAGGTGAGGTTCCAATGAGGAATCTGCTTCACCTTTCAGCTACGACAAGCTTAGATGAAAGAGGCTATAGTTTAAAATGGAATGGGATTGGTTTGTGCCCAAGTGGGTAACAAAGAATCTTTGTGTCTGCTTCTGACGTTTGAGTCTGTGTTAAACTGGTAAAAGAGATTCTTACTCATGCTGGATGGATCAAGCAAAGCAAAAAAGAAAAGTCACATCTGGTCAAATGTGCCTCTACATCCCTCTTTACTGGGCACTTTATACCTTGGAGCTATTGTTGGAATGAAACGGATTAGGTGCTTTGTCCCATCTATCAGTCCTAATTATTGTAAATATTATACTTCTGATTTTATTGCTATTTTTAAATCAGAATGCTGATGCTTTCGTGCATACTCATCTTCCGCTGGCTCTTTGGAGGTATTTTCAGTGGCAGCAGAGCTGAACTTGAGTATTTTGCCCAAGACATATGAAAGGTTCAATAAGAAGATACTGCTCTTTGCAGTAATGTATAGTTACCATGTTAGTGTATTTCCACTTTTTTGTTTTGTCTCTTACATTGCTTCCTTGTTTCCTATTTACATCATGATCTGCCTGCTTTCTGCCTCCCCTTGTAGAACCTTTCCACGAAGAGCACACAGCAAGTTGAGTGCTGTCTGTATTTCTGTCAAGCTGGTGCAGGACATCCTGATAAAAAAATTATTATGCATATGCTCCTGTGCATGGTTTTATAAGATTAGCTTAAAACCCTTATGTCATTTTTATTTTTTAAAAGTCTGTGATTTTGCTCTATTTTTTCCAGCTGTCTAATATAATTGGCACTCACATCCTGTGTTGGGGCCTCTGGGTTCTAAAATCAGATTGTTGCCAGGTTTAGTTTTGGCAGCTTGCAAGATAAATGAAAGGTTTGGCTGAGAACAGAAGGTATCGCTGGCAATGCTGCTGCATCTCTGCTCAATGAGAAAAGATAATGGTATTCTCTTAACTTTCTTCGAAGAGGCTTTTGTAAACAAAATAAGAGTGGCTGTGTAAATGTCCCATCACACTCTGTCCTTGCCTCTTAGCCCTCTTCCCTCCACTCAACATGTGCTTCATTCCTAAAGCACACCAGAAAAAATACAGATTAAGATTCATAGTCTTGATATAATTTTCTCCAGCTTTTTGTAGATTACTGAGTGATGCGAAAGTTAATAATTTACATGGAAGCCATATTGCATCTCTCCAGGTAACCCTGACTTGAAATGAGCCTTCTGCCAGTATCTCTGGTGTTTTGTTTGAAGATGAGTGACAGCACATTCTCACATCTGCTTGCAACTAGCTCTGGAATTTGCAGCGTACGTGGTTTTTGCCAGGCAGCAATCTCTAGTATGTGTAATAGTCACTAGGTGGTGCTATCCCAGAAGCAAGAGGGAATTTGAGACTCGTAACATGGGTCTGACAATTACTGAAAACGTAGTTCTTAAATACCAGTAAGAACAAAAAGATGCCTTTCCCACCCTGAGAAGATCCTCTGTTTGAAGTATATTTATATAACTGTCGTGTCTTCCGCTGTCAAAAACTGAGCAGCAGCAAGAAAATAAATATTAAAAAGGCTAAATTCTTTTACTAATTTAAGATCATGTTAATCCCTGTAATTTATCAAATATACTTATCCCCTCTTAACAAATGCTCGTATTTCACAGTAGCAGACTGTGTAGTTTAAAGGGCCAGAAATTAACAGCAGGGCATTAAATATACATTTGTAATAGTAAGTTATGGTTAAGAGAGTGCACAATTACTGATACGAGGCACCAGAACTTAAATGTTCTGGCACTAATTTTGTAGGGTGTACAGCATGTTTTGTCATCTTTCAGTGGAAACTTAGGCACATTCAGCACGTTTTGGAATCTGTTTGCACTTTCTAGGGACCTTTAACCTCAAAACTGAATGAACGTATTCTGGTTTAACCTACCAGTTCTCTCAATTGTTTCCATATTTGTCACTTTTTTCTACAGACACAGCTTCTTGTGCTGAGAATCCTGTATGTTGTGAAATAAAAATAGAATTTACTACAAATACAAGAGAGATGTAGAGCATTAAAAAAAAAAAAAAGTTGCCACTACTCCAGTTGAATTTGCATGTTCCCTTTCAGATATAGTGCATTCCTGTTTGTCTCTAATTTTGTTGCAGCTAAAGCATCAGAGAGAAAAGGGATCATGCGATCGAGAAAATAGAGTTCCCTTCTAAGAGAAGAGGGCTTTAATTAGAAAATTAAGGAGAGCCTTGGTACATTCACTAGTGGTATCAGTGAGGAATCACACCATTTGACTCACTGTCCTGATATTCGAGAATTTTTGCAACATCACCTTTAAGCTATGGTACCATCGGACTGCTTGGGCAAAGCACCAATGGGGCTTTTTGAGACTGCAGCTCCCTCTTCCACTATTCCTCTCTCTTACTGTACATTCCCCTGCTGACCAGATCATGCTGGCAGGATAGGGAGGTGTGCCAGAGGGCCTTCAGCTTCTCAGAAAAGCTGCAGCATAACATAATTCTCTACTCTTGAAACACAGTCTGTTCAGACTTTTTCCCCTTCTATGACTCACAGACCTTTAGAGCTTTTGTTGGAGTTGCTCTGCTCTGCCTTTGGTCCTCGCTGGAGAGAGGGGGGAGAGTTGCCATCTGGAGGGAGGCAAGGGGAAATCATCCAGCCTTCCCACCATCAGAGTAGAGAGGCAGGGAAACATCCCTGTCCTAGCTTTGAGGATGTGTAGGGGCTGGGCTTGGCTTGGCTGCATAGAATAAATACAGAGCTGGGTACGATTACTGCTACAGCAACATCATGTCTAATAATTATGATAGTGTTGGGTATTGCTTGTACATTCAGTGATGTAGTATCAATATATCATCCATTGCTAATAAACACTCCTTGTTCATGGTGCCTAGATATTTGAGCATAATCTGTCAAAAAGAACTGGGATGAAGGTTTTCACAACCTTCAATGAAGAATTAGGACAGTGATGTTTTAACAGGGGATTTTTTTTGTCCAAAATGGGAGGAAAATAGATTTTTTTCAAAACAAAGTTAATTATAATTAGCCTGCCTAAAGGTCATTTTCCCTCCTCAGTATTGATTTTCAGTCTGTGTTCTTTGTGCCTTTGAGTCTCCAACTCTGCTTACAGCCTTCAAACAAAAAGTAATTATAAACAATGTACATCCCATATGAAAAAAAAAAAATACAAAAAACTCACAGACCATGTGCTCAGAGACAATGTGAAAAAAATGTTTCAGGCTTTCTTTATGCACACTAAAGAACACAAGAATTAGGGCCTTTTGCAAAATCACTTTAAGGAACTACTTTTCACAACTCCTTGGTGACAAGAGTAGAGTCTCGATATTAATTTGTCTATAACTTTGATAGCAGCTCATTCATAGAGTCACAGAATGGTTTGGGTTGGAAGGGACCTTAAAGATCATCTAGTTCCAACTCCGCTGCCATGGCCAAGGACACCTCCCAGGTTGCTCAAAGCCCCATCCAGCCTGGCCTTGAACACCTCCAGGGATGGGGCAGCCACAACTTCTCTGGGCAACCCGTGCCAGTGTCTCGCCACCCTCACAGTAAATAATTTCTTCCTAATATCTAACCTAAATCTACCCTCTTCCAGTTTGAAGCCATTACCCCTTGTCCTATCACTACATGCCCCCATAAAAAGTCCCTCTCCAGCTTTCCTGTAGGCCCCCTTTAGATACTGCTGCTATAAGGCCTCCCCAGAGCCTTCTCTCCTCCAGGCTGCATAACCCCAACTCTCTCAGCCTGTCCTCACAGGAGCGTTGTTCCAGCCCTCTGATCATCTTTGTGGTGCTCCTCTGGACTCGTTCCAACAGGTCTATGTCCTTCTTATGTTGGGGGTCCCAGAGCTGGACTCGGTACTCCAGGTGGGGTCTCATGAGAGCGGATTAGAGGGAAGCATCACCTCCCTTGACATGCTGGCCATGCTTCTCTTGATGCAGTCCAGGATATGGTTGTCTTTCTCAGCTGCAAGCACACATTTCTGGCTCATGTTGAGCTTCTCATCAACCAACGCTCCCAAGTCCTTCTCAGGGCTGCTCTCAATCCATTCTCCACCAGGTCTGTATTTGTGATTGGGATTGCCACAACCCATGTGCAGGTCTTTGCACTTGCCCTTGTTGAACTTCATGAAGTTCACATGAGCCCACTTCTCAAGCCTGTCCAGGTCCCTCTGGATGGCATCCCTTCCCTCCAGCATGTTGATCGCTCCACACAGCTTAGTGTCGTCAGCAAACTTGCTGAGGGTGCACTTAATCCCACTGGCCACGTTACCAACAAAGATCTTAAAAAGTGCTGGTCCCAGTACCAACCCTGAGGAACACCACTCATCACTGGTCTCCTCTCTCCACTTGGACATCGAGCTGTTGGCTGCAACTCTAAGTGAGACCATCCAGCCAATTCCTTATGCACCGAGTGAGTGTTCCATCCATCAAATCCATGTCTCTCCAATTTAGAGACAAGGAAGACCTTCCTCACAAAGAGTCAGAAACTGAGGGAAAGAAATGGATTTTCTTGCATTTCAGTCCCATGAACAGATACTACTGGGCATAGAGTGAAACCTTGGCCGATTGAAATTGTAGGTGCTTTGCCATTGTTTTCAGCAGAACCGTGATTTGACCCGTCATGTTTGTCACTGTGCAGTCCTATTGAGCACAAGCCCTTCCTCTCGCAATAAGTAGTGGCAGGTCTTTTGGCTTGGTGTGTGTCATACTTATGCACTGAAATATAGCATGTTTCCATTTGGGCTTAGCGGATTTTTTTCTCTTAATTCCACACATCACAATAGAGCAAAAGACTCAAATACATCTTAATTTTACTAATTTGTCCTACAATGAAATCTTTTTATAATGGTACTTTTGTGTTAGTATTTTCACCTCTAAGAGATAACTGCAGGCACTCTAAGTCAAATAAATCGGAAACAAAGCTATTGTAATTATAATCTCTCTACTTAAAGATGAATCAGAATTTATATTTTGTAAGAATTCGAGTCAATTTAATGGAAGCTATATATTTTCACTCGGGACACAAGGCTTTCCTACTTCTAACTGTTCCATATGTTAAAAGCATATAAAAGTTAATCGGTTTTGCTTTGCTGCCAGTGTGTTGTGTGCAAAGAGAGGCTTTAAACCACAGCTGTGCAATGTAACAATTGTGAACTTTACTGGGTTGCAGATGTGGGACATCAGTAAACTAAATTAAATGTAGCTTAACTGAGTTTGAGAGGTAGAGTGTTGGATTACTTTTTATTTAGTTTTTCAGTTGAGCATTTTACAGTTCGGTGTTTCTTTTTCTTCACATCCCAAGGTTTTGTGTCATAGGATGAATGCAGTACACAAATACGCAAAAGACTTGCTAGCAGTAGGATTCAAAACATGCCCCAAAATAGTCCTAAAACTGGAACTCATCTATCAGATCAAAGTTAAGGTCTCAGTCCTCCTAAAGCTTTGTATAAGACATAACAATTATTTACTGTAGAGAATAACTCCCTATAAATAAAGAGTGTCAGTGAATCTCTGGAATTGCATATGGCAGTAAACACAACAGCTGAGAAGGGTCAAGTTAGATTTATCATGTTTATGTTTGCTAAAGGGTGTTGCCCAAGCAGAAGTGCGCTGTTTTTAATATGAGACTTCACAGATTATGTTGTACTGAAAATGGGCAAAAGGCATAGATTATTTTTTTTTGGTCTTCAAGCGCTTGCAAATTGAACCCTAAAAAAAGTATGAATGAGCAGGTTTAAGAACAGAACTTGATGAGCTGACTGATTTGATTCATAATAGGCCATTCTCTGTAGAACAAATCTTGAGAATAATTTTTCTTTACCTTTCTCTCAGAAGAGAGGGGATATCTCTTAAATTTTCATGTTTCTAGCCTAACTTCTTAGTTCTACAATGAACATTATCTCATGATAGTGAACAATAATTAGTTTTAACGCTTCCTTATATCCTAATTAAATTCAAAATGTGTTGATATTGAGGAAGCAAAAGTTGTGTTGCACAGAAGGCATTACTGTTTTTTATATTGACTAGTAGCCTATGGGATCTCACTGTGCAGCATACACAAAATTTAAAGAGAGAAATATTCAGAGAACGTTATACAGTAGTTGTTTTAATGAGTAGTTTATTAAGCAGTTTTTACAGGCACTATGAGCTGTAAGGTCAAACTGTGTCAAAGATGCTCGGTATGTCATTGGAAGCATTCAGTAGCTCTCAAGATCAAATCCTGGAAGAGCAATTATTTTTAAATTTGCCAGTGAGTTTGTAGAGCAGATAAATTTGTTGAGTATTCAGATAACCTTGCTGGTTTGAATATCTATAATATTTTTTGGTGTGTCCTTTACAAAGAACATGCTTATATTTCCCACTCTTTCAAAGTAATTGAATTAGGGGTTAATGTATGTAAGAGATGAATGTAGTTGGTGGAAAACAAACCTCTGAGTCTGTGCTGGATTTTGTGTCTTTGTTTTAGACTATTTCATTCTCTGACTGCGCTGTCTTACTATGATTTTGTACTTTGTTTTATCCATTTCCTTTATTCCTTCACCCTACAACAAACTGTAAATGTCGGTACTTTACTAAACCAGCATTATGTTTTCGCTTATTATTTGACTTTGTCTTACTTATTCCAACCTGACTTGGCTTGATATAGGAATTTTTACCACTGAATTCATTGGGAATCATCACAGGCTTTAGTTGGATTTTGATCAGACTGTGTGTGTATGGATCAGCTTCAGCAGCAGGTCCTAAATGATGGAATATATACCATAAGACATTTTATTGTATGGAGAGGGAACATACTCTGGAAATACAAACAGTGGGCTGGAAATGAGAATTCTTGACTTCTCCTGGGATTCCTGTGTATTCACTGTTCTTATAGAAAATTACTTTGGCCTCAGGTTAAACTGAGTACTGTGAAGCTTAATTAGTGTTTGAGGACAGTCCTGAGATCATCAGAGACAAGATGCTGAGGTCTGAGCCACCAGAATGCTTGCTGTTGGTTCATGTTGGTGAGAGAGCAGAGATAAAACACTGAGATAACTACCATGTTCTTCATAATCAAACTTTTGCTTTTCTAGATAAAGCATATATGATTTTGAGGAAAAAAGAAATCTTGCATAACATGCAAGAGAAAGGATGTCAACTACATAAAATAGTGAGGGAGACCAGAGCTGAATCAGCATGTGTGGTAACCATATTTTCAACCTGTGTATGTTTTTAGAAGTATTCTTCCACCTGCCTCTGGAAGAAGAAATAAACTTGTTTCTCTCCTGAATAGAGGTAATTAAATTAATGGAGAATTCCTCAACAATGAAGTCTTCACAGAAAATAAACCTTTGTAGTTTTCTTCTAATCTCAGTTACAGATATGGTACAGGAAATGGGGCATTGTGACCCAACAGGACTTTGTGTTGATGGTGAGGTACTTTGCCAATGATACAGACTGCGTCATTCTGTACTGTCTCTTGCTCCTCAGATATTTCAAGGTTTGTTGTTCTGAGTAGATACAACAGCATCAAATAGTACATCTCCAAAGATGTTGAGGAAGGTGATTCTGTCCCTCTACTCTGCTCTGGTGAGACCCCACCTGGAGTACTGCTTCCAGCTCTGGGACCTCCAACATAAGAAGGACATGGACCTGTTGGAACGAGTCCAGAGGAGCACCACAAAGCTGATCAGAGGGCTGGAACAACGCTCCTGTGAGGACAGGCTGAGAGAGTTGGGGTTATGCAGCCTGGAGGAGAGAAGGCTCCAGGGACACCTTATAGCAGCTTTCTACTGTCTGAATAGGGCCTACAAGAAAGCTGGAGAGGGGCTTTTTATGGGGGCATGTAGTGATAGGACAAGGGGTAATGGCTTCAAACTGGAAGAGGGTAGATTTAGGTAGATATTAGGAAGAAATTATTTACTGTGAGGGTGGCGAGACACTGGCACGGGTTGCCCAGAGAAGTTGTGGATGCCCCATCCCTGGAGGTGTTCGAGGTCAGGCTGGATGGGGCTTTGAGCAACCTGGTGTAGTGCGAGGTGTCCTTGGCCATGGCAGCGGCGTTGGAACTAGATGATCTTTAAGGTCCCTTCTAACTCTAACCATTCTATGATTCTGTGTGGATAGGAGTTGCTAAGGTCCATACCTGAAAGAAATAGCCTGTCTTCTGACAAGGTATAAATCATAAAAAGATGAGTGACTTTGTTCTCTGTAATGCAGCAGCTGGGACTCTGACCAGACCAGGCTGTGGCCAGCCTGTCAGGCAGTTTTCAGTCAGTTAGTCAGGTCTCCTGCTAGTCAGGCTGCAGACCTGACTGAAGAAAATGCTGGGCATCAAGCAGTAGAAAACTCCAGCATTGTTTACACTATAACTTCTAATTGGCTGTGATATTTCAGGAAATGTTTGCATTTCAGTGAACACACTCCCAATCGAGTAGATGGCTACAGGTCTGATTCAATTCAGCTGGAAAATTGAGCATGTTGCTTAAAGTAGCCATTAATACCCAAAGATGTGTTTTAGAAATATCTTGGGCACTGCTACCAACTAATTATATACTGTAATCGCTTCTTCTTTACTAGGTAAGGGTAAAAGTTAAGACCTTTCTTTCTGAGATTGTACATTAGCACATTTTGTAATATAGTAGGCAGTTTGACCTTCATTTCATCTCCGCTGCTGTCAGTGTCTTATGTCCCTTGCATTCTACAAGAAGTCTGCTAACCTACTCTGTTAGAACAGTATTTAAACATAGCATCCATGATGCTTACAAGCAAAGTTTTGTTTGTTGCTGTAAACCTCATGCTGTGTGTTTGCCAATGTGTGCCTCACTAATGTGGGAAGTGACCACTGAAGTATCTGCGACGTATGCAGTCGAAAGCATAGCACCGCTGAATTTACACTCAGGTTCTCCAATCCCAGTCTAGCAATGTAAAGCTTTTAAGTATCTGTAAATATGATCTGTGTCTGCTTCATGCTAATAAGACTCAAGAAACCTGTAGTCTTAACTGAGAAGCAGAATCGGAATTTGTCAGTTCACTGTGGCATGGATTCTTAATTTCAACTAATCTGGGCCAAAAAGTCCATTTTTATTGCTCTTGAGGCAATTACTCATAATTAGGTTATTCCCAGGTGGGCCTCACTATTAGAAAGTTTTCATGGTTATCAGATTCTGTTTTATAATATGAATCTGATTTTGGAAATACAATTTCTCGTTTTTTATTTACTTATTCTGAATAGGAAGTAAAGTGGTTCTCTTTTACAATAAGCAGCAGTGGAAGTGTGTCTGTATTGATAGTTGTGTTCTACAGACAATATTTTTATAAATATATTCTTCTGTAAAATGTGTAGTATATGAGAAAATTGGATTCTTAGCTTTTTATTGTACAAGATTAGCTTAAATGACTTCAGTGGCTCAAAAGAATAGAGTTTTGATAGTCAGTGACCAGATTCAAATTAGTACCCAATAAAAAAGTACATGTATTCATTTATAGTTGAGCTAAGAAAAGCTTAGTCTTACAGTAGCAGAAGATGAAAATGCATTATGGAGATAAGCAGTCGACTTCTTTAGGCTAGATAAAATGTACTGAAAGGAAAGACAGAGAAGAATCTGTGTATGTCAAAGACATTGTCTGAGTCTGTACCTCTTCTGGAGTGCAAGTGCTTAGCTGTGATTAGAGGTGGTGTCAATGAAATATGAATGCATTGTAGCATTTCTGACCATATTATACTGTATCTACATGGTGTTTCAAGTAACTCCCCTTTATCTGAACCAGAAGCATGAAAGAAATTAATAAAATATATGAGGATAAGGAAAGAGCTTGTCCTGTGCCCTCTATGTAATAGTAATATCCCTGGTACAGCTTGTACAGTAAGGTGACATTATCATTAGGCTTTTTTCTCTGTAAGTCACTTCCCAAACTAAAGGTTGTATCAAAGCTTAATGTAATTCTTACCTGGCATGCTCTTACTTTGGGAGGAGTAATCTATTGCAGACATAACCAAAATGAGATTATAAATACAGTGTTAATATTACTAATATTTGCTTGATGCTACTTACAGAACCCATCACCTAAGAATAATGAAGCCCTGACAAACTGTAAGTAACATCAGAACATCCAGCCAGAGAGTGTACTTTTCCTAATTAGTGTGGAAAGTCAATGGCTGGCCAAATCATTAATTTGGCCAGATCACACAGTAAGTGCCAGGGATGCAAGTGAAAAGCCAGGAATGCTGACTAGTCCTTTCTGAGATCTAGAGAGCACTGGCAAAGTCCAAGCTGAAACAAGACAACCCATTTCTTCTTTCTGTGCTGTGTAAATACTTGAAATACTTTCAGAACTTCTCCTGCTTGGCTTTACATAATAGGTACTTTTAAGGTACTTTGACAGTATGGTCTTTCTCACCTAGCTGAAATGAAGCATCAGTGAATATGTTTGCAGGGATGTGAGATCTCCTGTACAGCTTCAAGACAAAAGGAGTTTTGCTGAGCATTGGCACAGTGATCTTAGCCAGTGAGTGCATAGATTTTTTGTGCTGGTACTTCTCTTTCTGTTGGAAGCTCTCAGAGCAATTTCACAAACTTTAATGACTGAAACTTCTTAAAGGATTAATGACACTCCTAACTTTATTAAACAGAGGGGAAAAAAGAGAAACATTGGGGCTGACTGACTCGCCCACTGACACAAATGAATCCCAGAGACCTTAGTCTCTGATCCAGCAGACACATAGGTAGGAGCCTTAATTTTTCAGATGAGCAGTCCTCTTGAACTGAAAAGGAAATGCATGTGAGTAAAATTAAACATGTACGTGTTTCAAAGATTAATCCTAATTTTAACCATTAACTTCTCTCCTCTCCCTCATGAATGCCTTTTCCAAAAAAATGAAGAAAATTTCGAGAGGGTTTTAAATCGCTTAATTGCTCCATTTTATGAAGTTGGATTTTAATACAGGTAGTATTTTATTTAAGTCTACGGGGATGTCACTTGTATTTTCTCTAAAGTGTTGGCCATGTAATAAGTGTGAAGTTAGACTTCTGAAAGGCACAGTGCAGTCTTTTAACCTCTAACCAGTTTAACCTTTCAGGGAACCCATGGCAGTTTTAACTGGCTACGTTATTATCTAAAAACGTTTGTTCCTCAAATATTGATGTTCTTCACAAAGCGGAATAACATTTAATTATTTTTTGGTGTGTAAAGTAATAAATGACCTTGTAAATGAAAATTGAATGCAGGGACAGGTACCAAATGTTTACTGACTATAAACACCATGCTAACTCTGGGTGAAACATTTCTTATTGTGTAGACTAATTTTCAAATGGCATTTGTTCTGTTTATTAGTTATAATGGCTTAGAAATGTTAAAGATAGGTAGTTATTTTCCTGAACATGAACTACTTGAGATGACTAATTCACAAATTTTTATTGAAGCATCATTTTGTGTTTGATCTGGAAAAGAAAATCCTAATAACACTTTTTATATGGGTTTCACCTGATGCCACGATTCAGTAGTTAGTAATTACATAGGAATTCACTTGACACATGAAATAAGCATTGATAAGTATCCGTTCCTAGAAGAAAGTAACTAAAGAACAAAATCACAATATGTAAAATGCTTCTTTTTTGAAGTAGGAACTAACCACTTCTGAGGGTTTTTTGGTTTGTGAATTCAGTACAGATTTTTGATTAAGAAAAAGGTTTATTTATTTGCTTGGTTTCTCAGATCAGAAATGTTAAGTTTAGTTTTAGTTTTGCATGAGGAACTAATGGAGAGCTCAGGGATATTAATTATCAACCCTAGAAACCTAATGCCAGCAGTGAGTGTGGTGAACCTTCAACAACTGTCTTATCATTCTAAATTTTATTTGGTTATTAGAGTTTTGTAACTTGTTATAAAATGCCACAAAATTTTAGTCATTTTAAGCAATCGGATTCAAATTTGTTTCTTCTCCCAACTTCCTTCTTTTATCCCATGTTGTGTCATCAGTTTTCCAGTGTGAGGCTTTCAACCTTTAGACTTGCTAATCTGAAGCCTAGCCAAAACCAACCTTTCCAGGTTATCTACTTTTGGCAAAAAAGGCCCAAAAGAGTAATTTCTAACATCAAAAATATTAAAATTACAGCTAAGAGAAGAATAAATTCACCGACTACTTGCTCATTAAAGTCCTCATTTTAACCTTAGAGAGATACATGTACATACTGTATGTACCATGTACGTATATAAATACAAGGTATACAAGATTTTCTAAACAGTTGCAGTTTTCATTAACCTACACATTATAGCTTAAAGCAGTTCCCAAAACCGTGGACCTACCTTGTGTTGTGCACTGTGATTTAGACTGTCAGGTCGTGCTATTAGATCTGGAAATGACATGCCAGTTGTGCAGCATTGTGTCAATCCCAATGCCAGTAGCTTACATGAGAAATACTTTTTAAAATCAATACAGAATGTTTGAATCACTCCAAAGAATGTCATTGCTGTGTTTGAGTGCTCGCCCCCAAACTGTTTTCAGGGGACTGGTATTTTTCTTGTTCGCAGGAAAGTAAGAGCAAGGGTTCCTTTCAGTGTTCTGTGGACACTGGGTTTGCTCTGCTGCTTTATGGAATAATTACCAGCAATTAAGTGTTCTTGGTTTTTGTTTTTCCCATCCTTCCTCCTTACCAGTTATGTAATATGTAGTTTAGCAAAACTCTGAAGACTGTTTGGAGTTACTGACTTTCTGTAAAGCAAACAGCTAAACACTGGAGTTGATGCAAACAAGGCACTTAGCATCTGAAAGAAGTGTTAACACTTTATTTACATTTAAATTAAAATGGACACTTATTTATGTGTTCTGGTTCTGAAAGGTGTGTGGTACATCTGCAGAGGCCTATTGTTTATTCATGCTGTAAATCCTTTGAAATGTGTTAAAATGCTTCCCACTCATTATAAAAATCCTGCCACCCATGGATTAGGGCTTTGATGTCACCAATCCTGCTTCAAAGGGTTCTTTCAATGCTATTAATCACAGTTTAGCCTCTGAAGATATAGCCAGAGAAAACATTTGGACATCTTGTGCTAGACTTGCTAAAACTTTGAAATATACAGAGTGTCTTGCATATGCACAGTCCCACATCGCTTCCTCTCGCTTCTCTGAGCCTTTATTTTGAAAAGCTATTTTGTGATGACTTTGACTTTCTACACGTACAGAGGAAAAAGTTTAGGACGCGTCATACTGTACATTTACAAAAAGGCACTCGACTTTCAGTTGACACCACAATATGGTTTTGCCTGAGGAATTGAGTCAGTCTGTAAAAACCCCAAGGGACAATAAGATTGGGGATTAAGCAGGCCTATATGTCAAAAGGTCAAAAAAAGATACCGTCTTATCATTTTCTCATCTCTTTCATTAGTTTGTGAGCTTAAGATGCTGTCTAAACACTTCAGGATCCACAGGATTTCATAGAAACAAGATTCTTTCTGCTGTCGTCTTCTCTTTTAAATCTCTCAATGAGTCACAGAGAAATTGATTACTAGTGATTGAGCTGTATGCCTTTGTGCTGTGGTTGTCTTCCTCAGCTCAGTAGCTAAGGTCAGTGACATACCACCTTATCACGGGCTTTTTCCTCCCTTTTAAATCAACACTGCACTCTGTCATGCCCATGCTGAATGCTCTCCAGGCACAACTGGTAATGAGTGGGGTGTGGAAGAAGTGTGGTGGTGTCTGCTATTTTTAGTACAATTGTACAAGCTGATTTGCCACCATATAAATTTTTCCCTGCTAAGCTTCTTCAACAGTATGTGTAGTATGTATTTCTTTCTTTTTGAACAGGTAACTTGGCACAGGCAAGAGCCAGAGTGACAGCAGCATCTAGGTCTTTGCCTCCACAGCTTAGTGCTGGGCGTATCAAGGTTAGTAGTGTTCCCTTTCAAGACAGACATTTGTTCATAAAATACTACAGCGAGACTATGGTCACAATGCTTAGCTGACATAGGTGTATAGTGAGGTTCTTACTGAATAAGAGTCTGCCTTAATATCAGAAAACATGCACCTCAGCTGGGAGCACCGTTTGCAGTTTTAGTGAAGACCCTATTGCAGAATCCAGTGAAGAATCAACTTACTACTGGTTAATCTTTAAACTTATGGAGTGAAATCTCAGTTACATTGATACTGATAGCCATATTCCTTTTTATTTCAATGGGCTCAAGGTTTTCCTCTGGGAATTTTGGCCTAGAAAGAAATTTAATTAGGTAAAGTTTGAATAGTGTGTATAGCAGTGTGAAAGACAAAATAAATAATAAAAAATATTGATTCCTTTTTTATTCAATTTGCAAGTGAAAAAACAGGGGACATTTGTGACTGATAGATGACCAGAAAAGAATGACTCGGCAAAACCACTATACTTTAAAAAAAAACAACTATAGAATTTAAACACTGCTAGATTTTGCCATAAAAGTGTGTGGCCTAATTGCAAAAGGATGGGATAATTTTATGGCAGTTAATAGGATGTGTTGCTAACTAAGTACACTTAATTTGTGAGGAAAAGTCTTGTGCCTCGAGCTTATAGCATGTACATAGCCTCCCAGCTTCCTAAGTAGTACTGTTAGACTTAGCTTAGTTAAGGGTTTGGGGTTTGCTTTAGCCTCCAAAGCAAATAATAGTAATTTTTAAAAACAAATGTGGTAACAGCAACTGTTCAAAAGTCTACAAAATTTTATGTTCTGGGTTTTCTATTTCTTTTCATTCTCTCCTGTTATTAGGAGCTCATGCTCAAATGTTGATACAGTAATTAATGTCACTCAGATATCTACATCCTTCACTGTACCTGCAAATACAGAAGTGGATTTCAGAGATTTATTTCCTCTCTGGTATAAACACTTTTGGTGCTGAAGGACAGATAATGGCCTTTCCAATTTTCTTGTACTATACACACATTGTCTTCCACATCCAGCTATATTCAGCATAAGCTTTCTAAGCATACATTTTATTGATACAGCTGGAATGAAAATAGAGCAGTTCTCTTCTAAAGCTTTCGTAAACACAATCAGTTATACCAAGTAGTGTTTAAGTGGTTTTTACTCACCCTTCAAATTTTTAAAGAAGGACCTAAAAGGCATGCGTAAGTGCAGCACTGTGCAGAAAATGTTAATTGAAGTAGTTGTTAGCTGAAAAAAAAAATCTTTCTTATAATTTCATGAAACTTTGAATTAAAACAACTTCAGGACAAAGATTTTAAATTACTATTTTATAGGGTTTTTTTAAAAATCCAAACATAATTTTGTTTGGACGTTTGGAAATTTTCATTTATTATTTAATTTATGAGCTTTTTTGTTTAAAGTATTTTTTGGGTTTACAGTATTTCATACCATGCCAGCAGCAGGTGTGGTCAATATGTGAAAGTAATAATTTCCAGTGACTTCATAAGGTGACATGATGTCATAAATCATTCTTTTAATATTGTTTCAAAACTATTATAAATATTTTTTTTAGTGATGGAACAGTTTGTCTTTTCTAGGTCAAGCTGTTTTCCATTTCAGTTGTAATCGTATAAATGTATATTGTACGTCACTACTACTGTCATGTAAAAATGTGACTCAACAGTTGAAATATTCTTCATTTTAGTTTAAAAGAGTAGCTTGTGATTTAAAACACAAGATTATATCATGACGTTCTTACTATGTTCTATCATTTTCTGACAAGCCAGTTGTGATAAAGCCTATTGCCTGTTGTACATGTGATTATTGCCCTACCATAAAACTGCATGGCTTCATAGACACACAATGTCATAAATTAACCAGCAACAAAACTTCTAAAAATTCTTACAGGGAAGTCTACCTAGCTTCAGGGTCTATCAGAATTTTTCTAATGGAAACTTCCAATATTTCTTGTCAAAAAGATTTGGAAACTGATCCTAGTCCTTACAGATTGCAGAGATCTGAATTTGCAACACCATCCATTGAAAAAGGAATCTCATGATATTGGTTTTACCTTGATTTTCTGAGAAAAAGTGTGTTGCATCTCCTCTGTGAGTGCTTCTGACCATCTGCCTTTCTGTGTGTTTGTTCCCTTCCCCCCCAAAAAACCCAAAACAAAACAAAACCCTTTTGAACCCAGCAGGCTGTAGTAAACCATATTTGACAAACTAGCAGTCTGAAAGACCGTAACATTCTACAGGTTTGGTGAAAATAAGCAGCTGTGCAAAGGAGACGCTTACAGCATCCTACTGCCCAAAAGGCAGAGCATAAGCTCACCCTTTATTGACCAGCAGATATTCCAGATATGGCTGAGAGATTGTGAGTGCTGAACCTCCAATAACAATATCGCAAAGAGTCTCTGCTTTTCTAGACAGACAATCCAATTTAGAAACTCAAATTCATGGGCATTTGGGCTTCAGGGCAGTCCTTAAAATATTTGCTTTTGCTCTTGATTTGGTGTTCATTATAATTAAATTGTCTGTCTTTTAACATTAAAGGTTAACAGTTATTCTGAGCTTACTGTCAATATTCACTGGTATGGCTTTGGTCTTCTACCTGACCTTTACTGGAGATTTACATACCAGTCCTCAAAAAGCAGTTGTCTTGCTAAGATAGTTTTGAAACATTCCCGTATCTTTCCCCATGGACATGCCTGCTGTTCTCATTAGGTCATTGATGTTTACTTTGTCAGGTGACTTCTTAAGATGTTTGATGTTATCTGCGCTGATAAGGCATTTTTCCTGGGATATATTAGAGTTTTCTGTTAACATCCTTAAATCTGAAACCAAACTGCATCTTTTTTTTTTTTTTTTTCCCTCATGGGATAGTTTGAGATGTGTCCTAATGCATGTACACGACTCTGGGCTAAAACATCACAGATTACAAAAACATACTGAAATTTTTATGATTACCCTTATGGAAATCTGTCTGTCTTTGCACCATCTGTATTCTGCATCTTGTCTTCACAAGTTTTCTTTTGATTTCTTCCCCAACATAAAAACCATTTTCTTGATCTATTACTACTTAGTGCTTCATTTCCTTTATATTTTGCATGCAGTCTCCTAAATATCTCCTGAAGGTAAGAGACACAGTTACTTTATTGAGAACTGTAATCTTTCAGCAATTACTTTTAGTGTTCAGAAGAGTGGTCTTAAGTCAGTGAGTGTTGGAAATGATCGTATGGAGCAAAGTCCAGGAAGCGTAGCACAGGTGCTGACAACAGCATTATCTGGTTTATACAAATGCCACCTGGTCAGAGCAGATGGTAAACTGCCACAAAGCAAGTGAATGCTAAAATGTTGTTAATGCTCCATGCAAACAGGATGCTGGTTGATTTTCTTTAATTTTGTTGAGCTGTAATACAGCAACACAATCTGCTTGTGATTGGTAACCATGGTTATACTCATTCATAAATTCTGGTTTCATTTTGATAAGAACAGCTGTACTGACAATATAACTAAAATATACAAGGAGCAATATGTTTGCTGTCCATGTATACCCTCTAAAAATAACTCTTCTGAAACGCTGAAAAAGCGTTATTTGAAGCTATGGCAGTTCAGCAGAGTAAGATTGCTGAAATTCTTGGCATCAAAATGGCAATGTAAAGTAATTAATAGTAACCACAACAGCAGAAGGGAAAAGACTTACACATTCTGAGATTACCTACTTTGTTTGCCACTTGTTATCCAACAGCAACATTTTTTCCATAAGTGAGCGAAATGAGGCAGCCTTTTGCTAATTTACTCTTCTTCTCTAGAAAATAAGACCTGATGGAGTTCATTGTAGTGGTGATAAGAGGAATGCTTTTTTGAAGTCAGTTCATAAAGTATTGCGTCTTGACAGCGGCTTCATTGGCCTAGTTTCACACTATCATAACAAAGGAGTGAAATCATTCGGAACACCTACAGATCTCTCTGAAATCAGTGCATGTCCCTCATCTGTTAGAAGCTGGCCTTCATACCTCTGATAAAGTACTCTGAAGTACTCACACCTGAAGGAACCATAACAAAAACTGAGCCCTACATTCATGGGTGAGGTGGGGTGGATCTGCCATGTTTCTGGAACAGCTCTAACATCTGAATTTTGTCTTCCAGGTTGACACAATGGAGGTTATGCGACACCCTGAGGAAACAACTAACATGAAGCGGCAAACTATGGCTTCCTATTTTAGGGTACAGAAGTTAAATTGTAAACAAACATTTTGGTGATAAGAATAATAGATATGTCTAAAATATTTGTGGGATTGTGAGATCAAAGACAATAATAAGAGGGGGGTTTTATTCTGTTGTGAGGCCTTTGTAGCCTCATAAATTTTCTTTTGCTCCTTTTCTTCTTGTTTCCTCATACATATACTTTTATAATTTTGCTGAGTATATTGATAACAGGATCTAGAATCTAGACTATTTCCGTCTAAAATGCTGGAGGTCTAGAACACACCTCTTTATGAACAGAAAACTGATTTTTTGCAAATAAAATAGCTGTCATTACTAAAGCCTTCATATTTTTTCACGAGCTCAGACATACCTACTTTTAAAGATTAAGGTTTGTCATTTGTGATAATAAGTAAAAAGAATCCATCTTTTGGAAGTACTGTTATAAATCATATGGATTGCCATTTTGTCAGTAGTAATCCTGTCTGGGGTAATGTATATTCTGCATGTGTATTTAAAGCAAAAAGGTAAGGAAAAGGCATTGAGAATGCTGGAACTGGAAGGTTAGGATTCAGGAAACCTGCACACCAATCGAAGGCTGTTGGTTAATGTTTTTTTCTTGCAGTTGCTCCTTGCAGGGTGGAAAAGTTTTGAGCAGTTGGTCCTTGGTCTGCACATACTATGCAGAATGGAGAGGTTCACAGTGCTGTGCTCACCAGTGTGGGTCAAAGCCTTGTGCTGTGTTTTCTTTGTCGTGCAAAATAGTGTAAGGAAAGGCATAGAGGAATCTGATATGTACTGCGATGTTGCCTCAGTGTGGAGGGTACAAGGACACACATCCAAACTTGGGAACCTAGAGGCATCATTGTGTCTAGTAATACAAGTATGGATTTAGAGTGTTCTTGCATAGAACTACACAAATGTCAGCTGTGTAGGAACTGCAAAAAAAAAAAAAAAAAAGTTGAGTGGGGGAGTGAGTGTGAAAGTAGACCATAATATGGATGCAGCCTACAGCAAAGTGACCACAGTCAGCTTGGAATTGTATGTGAATTTGAGATTGTATGTATTTGCAGCAAATACTGATTAAGTGGGTTAATGAGGTGAGGATGGAGCAGAAGTGTCAGTATTCAGAGGAGTCATTGGAAAAGCAGATATGTATAATCTGATCACACTTTTTCCAGTTCAGTGTAAAATGCAATGGAATAAATTGTTTTCCATGCCCAGGGTTTTTTTTAGAAGTTAAGAATGTTATGAATAGTCAAGATAATGTAGCACTTCAGTAGATTGTCCAGGGAGATTGTGCAGTTGTATACCCATAGTGACTCTGAAAAATGGTTTAAACAGAGATATGCCTGAAATGGTACAGATACATCTGGTGTTCTCTTTGGGCAGAGAACTGAACTGATGACTTCTTGCAACCCTTTCCCCATGATTTTCTGTGAATTTCTGTGATTTTTCGTTTCACAATAAAGCTTGTTCTTCTGTTGGGGGTATTTGATTGGTCAAGTGTGCCCACAGTAGAATTACAGTTAGGACATTTTTCAATTTATTTTTTTTAATGTGGGCCTTCTTCAACTACAGAAATGTAGTATTAGGACAGATGAGGAGAAAGGTGTAAGAAATAAGAGCTAGAATAACAATTTTTTTTTACAATTGAAAACATTTAATAGGTTCTAGGTTTTAATATAATTAATAAATTGTCAATGCAGTTTAACATTATAGATTAAAATGTGATCAAGCAGTACACACTCTTTACAAATATGTATCTCCCACTTAAGTAGTTCCATGGCAGTTTTTTGTCAAGTCTGTGCATCTTTTTGTATTTTCCTCACTAGTATTCCCTCATGGATCTTTTATCCAAAATGGTTGTTGGACAGCCTCACTTTATCCGCTGCATTAAACCTAATGATGATCGAGAAGCACTGACATTTTCTCATGAGCGAGTTCTACTGCAGCTACGATACACTGGAATTCTGGAAACAGTCAAAATACGTCAAAAAGGCTATTCGCATCGCATCCTCTTTGAAGAGTTTGTGAAAAGGTCAGACTTCTATAACATGGTGGTTGTTTTAAAACTCCATTCAATAAAATACAGTCTGTGTGTTAGTACAGAAAGTTCTACATACATTGGTTTGTACATGTATGGTCTGATTCTCTAATGAGGGCAGTGACTAGCAGAGATAAAGATTGCAAAAGATATCTGAGCTCTTAACAGAGAAAAGTAAATGTGAGACCAGCAGTGAGCACTTAGTATTCAGTAGCAAGCCTGTCCCCATAGTTCCTTCAGCACAGGCAACAAGTGGAAATTATGCATCACAATACAAGGGTTTGGAAGGTCGGTGACCATCAGCCATCATATGAAGAATGTGTACATGCTGAAGACTGATATACAAGAACTGATATACAAGCTTTGTTTTTAAAAAAAAAAATATCTGAGGAGAGTGTTAATTTCAAGCTTGAAAACTTTACTTAGGTTAGACAAAAAACTAGGAATATTCCAGAGAAATTTTCATCAATTTATTTCAGACATAATACATTGTAAAAAATTATTTAAAACATTTTTATGCATAAGGTATCAAATTTGATTTGTTACATCTTTTAGTGTATACAAAAGTCATAGTGGAAAAAATTAAGGCATGAATTCAAATCTGTGGTGTTGTACTGGTGTAGTTCCCTGTGTAGAGGCTCTTCACACAAAAAATTTTTACTATTGCTTACCCATTTTGCCTTTACACCTCTTCTTCTTACACCCTTTTCACCTTTCTCCCTCCCCTTTTGCTCATTTTTTGTCATCTCAGAAATTCAACTGAAAAGAGCTACTTGTGCTCTGGAGAAGGTCAAGAGCATGTGCCCGTACATTGGCGTAAGCCTGGTAATGAAGAAATGCAGTGCACTGGTGTAACTGGAAAAAACATTCATGTGCAAGAAAGATCTGTGATTTAGAAATATTCCTTGTAATAGGCTTCATAGCCTTGTAGTCATTTATCTTGGAGGTATCATGAATTATGACCAGATCTCTGTTCACCTGAATCCTTGTCATGGCTACTATTGTTAGCTTTAATACTATTCTCAATCTCAAAAAGTTACAAATTTAATTCAGGAAATGCTATTGACTTTATGATGGCAGTATGTTTATATGTTCCTCTTGATTTAAAATATGGTTTTGTGTGGTATTTACTGTTTTCCAGTCACTAGGATTGATAATTCAATAATGGAGAAAAAGCAGTAACATTAAGCCATCAACTACTCAACAGTAGGAACAAGTAGTGAATGGCTAAATCAGGCATTTAGTGATATTTTCTGAACTGGAGGTTGCTCATCCAGACAATATAGAGTTAATGAATCTACTGAAAGCAAGTCATTCTCATGATACTAGAGGAAAGGAGCTGATTATGTTTTTGAGAAAGGAAAGACAAAAAGTTTCACGGGCCTTTCTAAAACCCAGAGATCGGGTAAATTTACATGTGTGTAAATCAGTCATTTGGGCCTTGGAAGTCTGTGGTCTTTGCATTGAGAGATGTTGAATGATAAACCGTAGCTTCATCAATTCATTCTGAAAAATTACGGACTTTTCTGATTTGTAATACATTAGTATTATGAATGAATATGTAATAGGAAAACACTGGAGATATATATCCCAGGAAGGATAACTAATGTGTTCGTTTGTCCATCAAAGCAATTTAATTTTCAGACTTGATTTCCCTCCACCTTTCTTTTGTGTTACGTGACTAATTTTAGTAAGGTCACACGATTCTAAAGCAGGTTTAAGAAAGAGATTAATTTTTGTGCTTACTAACACATCTTTGCAACATCCTGAAGAGGCTGAAGGCGGAATTATTAACCTTAACTTTTATTCAATTTACACGTAAGTGAACTAAGATTGACTGCACTGAAATTAGTGTAAATTGAGAGGAAATTAGGCCTCCTCTTTATCAGTAGATTCTTTTCATTCAAAAGTGCACTGAATTTGAGTACAACCTTGAAAAGTAATGGTAATAAAAGCAGTGCCGACTGTAGCTTTCCATTCCTGCAGATAAGGGCAAGTTGTGTTTAACATCTTGTCAGATACTCCCCAAGTTTTTAGTCCAGCTTGATGTAATTCTTTCAGGAAAGAAAGTCAACACGACAAGGGAAGTGGGGGGAGATTTAGCAATTTGCCCAACAGCACAGAAGACTTCCTGAGTTCAGAATATAAATGGGGGGCGGGAGAGGGGATGTTCTTGCTCCTTTGTTCAGTTCATGCTTTGTTTTTAAACAATGCTTAAAAAAGCTATCAATGGAACAAGAAACATTTTTCTTCAACTTACAGCCATGACTAGTCAAGTGTTTTTAGGAACTAAGTGCTTGAATACATAAAAATGTTTGAGAAAACAGGTCAAATGCTAAACAGATTGGCACTTCTTTGTTCATAATCAAAAAGACATTAGGCAAGTATGAACAAGAGTTTCAAAATGTCAGTAAATGTGAGGATATCAAAGATTTTCTAAGCCAGCAAGTTAATTGGTATTTTGATCCTTTTGAGCAACTTAACAACAAAAAGGATGAGCCAGCACTTTTTCTCCCTTGATGTTATTAAACAAATAGGTGTGCTTCTTATCTGCCTGTTCAATAATGCTGTTTTGTAAACTCTTAGCAGGAAATATGAGGACAAAACAATCAAAGGCAGGGAACAGAACCATTCAGGGTTTATCAGGTGGGAGGTAAACAAAAGATAAAGCTCTGTCTAATGTTTCTCTTTACTGTCTTCTGTTTTCATGTAGAACAGATTATTTCAGTGTTGCAAACCTGGTGGTAGTTTATTGAGTTAAAAAACAGATGGTGAGGAGAGGACTTAGTTTTAACTCATTTACACAATGTTTCTTCAGCCAAGTATACAACCATCTATTTTATGTATATAAATATACATATTCTTTTACTTAAAGCAGGAAAATGTAATCTGAAGCCCCTGTAAACACTGTAGACTTGTCAAGTCTCAGGCACTTTGTCTCCATTGGCGTTGTCTCGCACCCCGTGCCATCACGTGTCTGTCTTACGAGTTTGCAGTGAAGCAGCGTGGCCCTTTCTCAGGCTGGGATCCCAGGCTCCATACACAGGTTATTAATCTGCTCCAGCAACCAGGTGGGCCTGGCTTGTGAGCAGCATAATGAGCGTGCACTGCATAGCAGCTAAGGGAGGTGTGCTTCCTAGCAGGGACCTGCACAGAAAGTCCCCCTGGATGGGACGCTCCTTGGTACATCCGAGTGCCCAGGCCCTTGGAGCTTCACATGACGTGATGTGGTATGCAGATGTTTCTTCACCACGTAACCCCCAGCTGTATACACCTTTTATGTAATGTGGCATATTCTATGCCACGGGTTGAAAGATAAGGGACTTGAGAATCTAATGGTGCTAAATGCTGTCATGCTTGAAGTGCCTCATAAGCACACAGAAATGTATTGAAGTCTTGTACAAGTTACATTTTAGGATTGTCTTTGTTCTTTTTCTCTGCCCGTTTACATTCTGCATTTAAGTTCTTTGTACTGCATTGGGATGCCGGATAGACTTTTCCTATAAGTGCTACCTACTCCCCAGTAGCGAGATGATGTTACTCAGGTCATATGCTCATGTCAATACAAGTGCTATTACTTTAACAGTGATCCAAGTGAGGCTGGGTCTGGTTTTTCAATATCACAGTGCAAATTTGCATGAGGTCACTGTTGGTACACCTGATACAGACAGTCTCTAAAATGTCAGTGTTACATTTCTCATGACCATATAAAGCCTCATTGACCTTAATGAGTCACATTCTGTGTTGACTGGTGCTAAGAATAAAAACTGGTCAAATATTGCAAAATCGTCTAAAACGTTACCTCAGGATGTGCTTTCTTCTAACCCCCAAAATTAAGTTGTGATAGACTTGTTTATTATTCAAAATCAGGGAAGTACTGAATTAAATTAAAAGTCAACAGGTTTGCTACAGAGAAAAGAAATGTTTGCTCTTAAAGTGACACATTTTTAATGCAAACTTACTTTTAACACTGAGTCTGCACTGTACCAAAGTCCCTAAGTGATTTCTGGAAACAAAATTATAATAACCCTCATATTTTGATTTTACCATTAGTGTTATTTGTTTCAGTGGCTTTAAGATTTCATCAGATCTAGGTAATGTTCTTGTACACTTTAAATATGGTAAACTGCTGTACCTTTCATGTATACTTTCTAGACACTTGTCATTCACAGAACACTGGTAAACAGTTGCAGGATGGAGAAGATACAAAACCTCTAGGAGTGAAAGTCTGAAAACCCCTTATGAATTGTGTATGCAGAATGAACCAAATTATGCCTTTCCGAGGGTATTTCTGTGATTCTGTGTTTATCTGATGATTTACAGCTTAAGTGTTAGGTATCTGTTACCAAATTTCAAGAGCTTCTTAGATGTTTTTTCATTATTCATTTACATTTTTTCATTCATACTCTCAATATAGTGTCAAATGTAATTAGTTGTATGAATTCAGATGCAGAAGTTTCTGAAAGAGGTGAGATACAAGCAATGCAAGTGAGGAATTTTTGGAAGTCATTTAACAGCTCTTTCAGTGCTAAAAACATGGACGTTTTTTAAACTTTCCAAATCCAGGGCTGAGAAGGAAAAAACATCTTTTGGAATGCTGAGAATCTGCCTACTATTGCTGGGGCTCTGGCTAGAAAGGGATTTTGCCCTCTTGCACCACATGCTTTTCACATATCATTGCCCATTCTCCACCTCATGCCCGTATATTTTAGTACAAGGATTTGTTTTAAAGAGGAAAAGGGTTAATCATTACTTGGGTAGTATTGATGCTTTCTTTAAGTCTGGAATGCGAAAGGAACTTTAGTAAGAGACACCGGTATAAGAGTTAATGGTGCTGTTTAAATGCTATTTATTGAATAGTTCCACAGTTCACCCTTTAAGGAGGGGAGAGAAATTGAACCGTTTGTTTACAATCAGTTTATCTAATCTAAAACCACCAACACTAAAATGCATTGGCCATAATCAGATAGTTAATGCATAGCATCATTCTGAAGTTTTCCGTACCTTAGCCTACTTGGTTGTCTTTAATATTTAACCATAAGTCTGCATGTCCTAGCTTTGCAGTTGTTGATCTAGGGATAAATTTAACTTTTAAAAAAAATGTTGGTTTATGCCTAATGACTATGAAGTACAGTTAATCCCATTTTAATGTATGTTTTGTCTGGAATACTATTTATGTCCGTGAAGGATAGTTTGTAGTGCAGTGTAAGAACCACTGGTTAAGAAATACATCACTCCAGAGTTTCATCAGCTCTGAGAAATTAATTCTTCTGAGGGCAAATTACTTTTTTCTTACTTAGTCTTACTGCTACTGAGAATGCGATTAGTCAAGTACTATTAGGAAACATGTAGATGAATATATCTCAAGTGTAGGAAATTTTCAAGCAGGATGTATAACCCAAGAAAGTAATGTATATTTGCACAAATACATGCATGTTTATGAAACAACACATGAAGGACTATAAACTTTATTTTTAAAAATACAAATGAAAGTATTGGCTTAACATAGAAGAGCGCTGGAGTATTCTAGACTACTGCCTTTTCTGCTGGAATAACAAATGCAAATATGGAAATAAAAAAGTAGAATTATGACATTTTCATCTCATCTGGAAAGAAACATGATTTCTAGCTCTACTTTTCTGAAATTAAGTATCTGGTTTCTTTTCTTGGTGAAATGTTGTAAACAGAGGTCACTTTGTGATCTCTGTAGAGTAGATTTACATAAGTATGATAGAAATGAAATTAGGTCAACAAATCAAAATGAATAGTTGTAGTTGCATATACCCCGACGTTTTGGGTGCGTTCCCGGACGTTTTCTCTACCATTTCACCATATTTGCACGCTTTTACCAGATACATTAATGTGAAACATTTTACTATCCTCCAAAATATTCCATATGGTCCATTGCTGTACAGAGATTTTAGATTAGGTAAAATAATTGGATGACCTTATGTGGCACACGCTGTGCTGCCATACAGTTACCCTGAGCATGTCAAGTCAAACTACTTGTGCATCTGTAGTTATGTGATTCAGTCATGAAAACAGGCATCAGATAGAACACAAAGTGTTTGCTTAAAACCCATAGGTATTTGAGCTTTGGAACAACGCTAATCTGGAGACCTTTTTACTGTGTAGAATGCAAGCTCTAAATGCAGTTCTGGAGGAGAAATAATCAAAAAGGAATTGCCAGTGTCATATTTTTAGACCTTATTTCTGATTAGCAGAGTCATTCCTGCCTTATTTTTGATGACATAACTGAAAAGGAACGGAAGGCCTGATGTTGAAAATGTGATATCCCAGTGCGTTGAACCGGCTACAGGAGTCTGCTGTGCAGTGGTTGGATCAACAAAAACATTTGGAAAAACACCTTTTAGATGAAGTTTTTATGAAATATTGGGAGAAAATATGTTTACATGCAGAAGTTATTCCCATGGTTTATAAAGTTACTGTTATTCTGAATGGCTTGCTTTCTTAGAAGACAGATAAATTTAAATTTATAAAAACATTTGTTAAAATGGGATTTGATAAGAAAAATGGGCCGTGTTTTATTTATGTTTTTTTTCTGAGTACTGAAAGCAACTACGTTCTAGAAAATGAAAGAGAGCTAATGGAGAGGGTACTACATTTGAAAAATATTGAAGTTTGTCATAAACAAAATGGTATAGTCAGGTGTGTAAATTGCATAGCTCAAAAATACATTTTAGCCAGGTATTTGTCACAAATAAAAAGTCAACTTCTCAGTAATTAGAATGTCATTGATAAGATAGATTCAAAAATTATGAGATCCTCCTTTACTATTTTATTGCATCAGTGCTATCTAAAAACTGTTTCCTGGTTTTAAAATTCCCAACTACAATGTGCCTTAGAAGATGTATGAACAACCAGAAAACTGATATTATTGCTCACTTGAATCCTTCCTTTCTTCTAAGGAAAGGAACTGCTTAAGTTGCATACGTGTGTAAATAACATGGCTGTCTGAACTGGCTTTTGAAGCAAGCAGCAATTTACTATTAGTGCAACTTCCCTGATGTATCTGTCAAGTATCTGTTGAAATTGCACACTGTCACAAATTGTTTGTGATACAAATATTTTAAATCTGAGTTTTATTAGTGCAACTCATAATACTGTTTGTCTTGTGAAAATGGGCATCTTAAGTTCTGTAATAAGGTGGAAGAAACATCGTTTTTTCTTTTCAGTACACCACGTTTCTCATAACTACTAAATAGCATGCCTTTTAGTATTTTGAAAGACTTGGCTAAAGAATTTGCAGTATCATGTTGTGAGAAAGCCACTGCATTAAAAATAACTCAGTAATACATAATCTCCTATCATTATTCAGAGTGGGCAATGTGTCCAGTGGGTGAATATCTATGTTTCTGGTCCAGGACTGATTCCAGTGCTTTTGCCTTCAGATGTCATTTTGTTCCCCTTTGATCTTTATTGACTATTTTAGTGGTTCTTTTTTCTTTCTTGTGACAACTGGAGCTAATATCTAGAGATTAACTGGAGTGAAAATTTGAAAATCATATTCTCCTGATTAAAAAAAAAAGTCTTGTGCTATTCCATTCTTTCTAATTGCTTCTCCATATTTTCTTCAGTATGAGGTGGCATATTTTCTTGACGCTATGTGGCTGCAGAGGAATCTGTCTCTGAGGTTCACTGGTCAGATTCTTCTCTTTATTTTTTAAAGAACATCTGATGGCTCTTTCCTATGCTAATAATTAGGAGAAAGGTTTGCTCAGCCTGCCAGTTCCTCTCAAACAGAATGTAAATAGAGTAGCACCTGTAGAGGTATAACTTAATAGACCAAGACAACAAATGGCGGTTCTTAAATGAGAGCTGAGGTGGCAGTTGCTACCATCTAACATTGTACTTGTGCTAAAATAACCTTAAATTTGTAAACTTGGCACATGTTCTTGCTGTTACTTAGCATAATTGTTTGCAAGTAGAGTTACTTAAATACTACAAAACCTTTCTTCATTAATGCATGGTGGCTTTATGGGTAGGGGTTGGTCTATTCATTCTTAATGTCTGTTTAGTTCAAACACATTTGCATCCCTTTTTCATTAACTATTTGCACAGTAATGTTATTTCACAAAAATTCTTTAGAAGCCGTTCTTTGCAAGAGAACGTGGACAAAAGAAAAGTCAATGTTGTTTAGTATGGGCCTGCTTCAAAGGCCACTAAAATTGTTCATAATCATTCCAATTAATTGTTTATCCCAATCAAACAGAAAAAAAGACATCATGCCTAATGACTTACAAACCTCATCATAACCACAGAATTCCTTGTGAGTAAAGAAAATTATTACATTCGTGTGAGGAATAATTTACTTGTTTTTTCTTTAAAATAGCTGCTATTTCTGCTTAACCGTCAGCACTGATAGAATCCTTGCTGATATGATAGTAATGCCATTTTTTTCATTATGCATATATATGCATATATATCTTCTGGAGGTGTGAAACACAGGTGGGTATTCGTGCAGTCTGAGCATCTTGTTCTCTGTAAATTAAGCTTGATATGAGAGTTGTTTTTACTGTAATCTAATCTTTATTCTTCACACACAGCGCCAGCCTTTTGGCTTCAATAATGAATCAGAATCAGTGTATCGTTGCACTGCCTACCCTCCTAGTGCTGGCCTTTATCTTCACCGATTGAGAATCCTCAGTCTTTCTACTAGGCATACTGAAAATGGGAAGCTCCCCTGAGTTCCACTGGTGGGAGTGATCTTGTTGCGAGCTCAAGAGCCTTGGACTCCTTATGTGGATTTATGCTTCCCAAAGAATGACAAGGCCATTCATATTTCTTTGTGAAAAATGACCGATAGCAGTAACTAAAATATTGAAAGATTACAAAGTGCCTTTTCTGGCATTTCTCATAAGGAGGAGGCATCAGGTCATGAATAACTTACTTTTAGTGCCTTTCTTTTTCTTTGGTGCTAGTATTTGACTTTTCTCCCACTCAGAAATCTGTAAAAGCCCATTGAATACCTCGGGGAGCACCTGCTTATTCAACAGAACTCGCAGCGAGATTTTACTGTGCCAAAGTGTGTTATGTAGCTCTGTAGATGGCGTACTTATTTTACACGTTATGCAGAAGGTTTTATTTTTGCCTTCCTCTCTATTACTCTGGTTTCTAGCACTTTTCCTTCTTCTCCCTGTCATTCATTCACTTGTTCGCCTGAAAAATTCAGAGCAACCTTGCGTATTTCCTAATTTGCACTGGTTTGTGAAAGACCTTTATGGATAAGTACACTGAGTGGGGATTTCTAGAATGCAGCAGATTCTTGTCACCACTATGGTACCACTTACTTTCCTTGTCATGTATATGCTCAAATATCTGTTCATGACATCTGTGCCATGATTTATGAAGAGGATGGAGTATAAGGGAGAATTTGGCCTATGAGTTTTAGAGAAGCAGCTCTGAGCTAGAGAAGAGCAGTGAAAGTACATATTGATGCTCAAGTCAATTCTTTCCATGTAATTTGGTTTTGCAGGTATTACTACCTTGCATTCAAGGCACACGAGACTCCCCTTGGTAGCAGAGAAAACTGTCTTGCCATTTTGGAGAAATCTAAACTGGACAACTGGATTCTTGGGAAAACCAAGGTAGGAGGTGCTAACATTTTCTCAAGGATAGTAACCTTTTAGCAAAACATGTCTAATAGTGGTTTGAAAAGTACTGCATGAATGAATGAAAGAACAAGGAAATCACTCCATTTAGCCTCCCAGGTTATGGAGGTGCCCTCCCAAGCCAGCTGAGTTAGTGCTGCAAGAGGAGGGATGCATTGGGTACCTCCCCAAAGGACACTGCACATGGCTGCCTTGATTAGGACAGTACATCTGTCAGTGCCTGCTGTGGCAGAGCCTCCCTGACGTTCCCCCTGCTCTTAATCATGGCATGACTGAAACTTCACATGCTGGCCTATCCTGGTTAGTACATTGCCCATTTGTGGAGTTTCAGGTGAGGTCTTGCTGGCTCAGTCAAGAGCCTTTGTTCACGGTTTAAAATGGAGTGGATGATTTCTGTAAAAAGGATGTTATACAGTATCTTGAGTTGTTTTACTGTGCACAAAAGAAAAACAAGGAGAATTTTGCTGCTCAAGACCCAGATAAAGTGTATGTAACCCCCCCTAGGGTTTGCCTCCGGAAGCAGAATCCTGTTAGACAATATTATGTCTAAGAACAAATTCAATGCAGGACTTATCTTCCCACTGTCAAGAAAGGCTGTATCTCAAAATTGTTGATACCTGAAAATAACCCCCTGGCCAATTTACTTTGTAAAGGGGGTAAATATGTGGTTTCTTTTGCAATGGGGTGATTATAATCAGTGGAATAATGAAATTCCACAAGCATACTGACAGCAAATATTTGATTCACAAGATTGCTATGATATCAGCAAGCAGTATTTTACCAGTTTTCTCAGCGACGGTGCCCTAAAATAGGCTGACGCAAGACTAATGAAAAGGCAGAATATAAGAGGTTACGTTACTGCCTGCATGTAATACTGATTTTTTTTGTTGTTGTTCCATTTCAGGTTTTTCTAAAGTATTACCATATAGAGCAGTTAAATTTGTTCCTGCGAGAAGTTATAGGGAGGGTGGTGGCCATGCAAGCCTATATCAAGGGATGGCTTGGAGCAAGGAGGTACAAGAAAGTCAAAGAGAAAAGAGAAAATAGTGCTGTTACCATACAGTCAGGTAAATGTTTGCATTCCCTATTTCATTGAGTGTCTTTGCATTTCAAGCTGTTAAATTGCATGTACTTTATTTATTCATTCGTAATAGATTATTATTAAATCAAAATAACCGGAGGTGCTTTTCTCTCCAGCTAATGGATGCAAATATTATTGATCTAAGGTGTCATCTTAGTATTTGGTAATGTCTTCATTTAAATATTTTAATATTTTAGATGTGATGCTTGTGCACAAAATGAAAATAGTGTTAGGTATGTCTACGCTGGCGTGCAGCGCATAAATTAAATGCAGTAGCATGCCCCCACCGCCCACCCCATGCATACCAGGAGACATACCTCGTGGGATGGGCCTGAGAGGCTGATTAGCAGTAATTTAGCAGGCTTCCTTAGATCAAATTTGAGGAGCTGTGTCAGGGGGGGAGTTCTTGTGCTGACATGATCGTGCACCTTTGCCTTTTGGATGAGGACATCAGTGAGCACATGGTGACAATTAAAATTTGGACGAGTGAAGCAGTGTTTGAAGTTGTGGGGATGTGAATACTGCAGTCGTGAACCCAGAGTTCAACATGTGGGTGGATGGGGAAGAGGTATTGGAGATGGGGGCTGGAGTGGTTATGGCAGGAGGGATGAAAGTTTCAGCACATCTCTGACTCTGTAGACTCTGTAGCACTTCCTTAAATAAATGTAATTTCCAGCACATGGTTTTGTATTTTTAGCCTGGAGAGGATATGAAGCTCGCAGGAAGTACAAGGAAATAAGGAACAGAAGAACTGATGCTGCTATACATATTCAAGCAGGTAATTAAAACATTATTTCAATTGCCAACACCTATTTTGCTGTGGGTGATTTCATGTGTCAGTGTTTATAGCCAAGAGAAATACCTGCAGTCCAAAGTAAAGCTATGAAAAACATTACTTCTGATTGTTTGCTCCTCAGTATCAAATGACATCAGTGACAGGTATCAGGCACTTTAGGTTTTTCGGAAGTACTTCTCTGGAAGCAAAAGATACTGATTATAAGCTGTTGAGCTAGTTCTTTAAGAATCTCTGAGCATGGTCAGTATGATTCAACTATACATAGAGCTGGTGTAAAGCACTGGACTGATTTGACTAAAAGTGTGGATGGGAGGCACTGGACGTGCATTTCTCTGTCTTTGTGTCAAGCTTTAATGTTGGCAGGTTGCCAGGTTTTTGTTTTGACTGCTTGCTGGGTTTGCCAGCTTTGGCCAATCTTTTGACTCTCTGCCAGACTCCTATGCAGCCGTATCAATATGAATTTGAATAAAATTTAAAGAGATTATTGGAGGAACAGGCCCATAGGGCTGTGTAGGTCTCTAGTAGAGAGCAGGGTACCATATGGCACAGAAATCTAAGAACCAGTGCTGTGAACTCAATGGTGTTTTCAGATGCTGCCAATATGAAGCAGCCTCCATATGATGCAGTGTAATACACCTTCACTGTCCAACCCCAGGTGGAAAGATTGTAGTTGATCAAAAATGGGTTCTAGCAAATGTGTTTACAGATAAACCAGGGTACCACCTTTATTCTACCACCTTCCTGTGCTATAATTCCTTAAGCTTTGTCACCTCTCTATTCTGTATCATGTAGTCTAAAGTCAATCTGGAAAAGACGTGTTCTAAATATTCTTTTACTTTGTTCTCAAGCCATTTCCAATGAATTAATTTGTTTTTCTTTTGTCTAAGTTTTCTACTCTGAAATAAGGCATTGCTGTGACTTTCAGCAGAAAACAGAATACCAGTCTGGTTACAGAAAGGAACAGAGTATCATTAGGATAAAATAATAATTTATAACTTTGCATGCATACTGTTATGTAGAGTCATGAACTGTAGCTCTAGTGTCAAATGCAGAATATTGTATTAAATAGAGAACTGTGAAGGACAATTTTTTTCTCCCATTACAACAAGCACTGAAGGACTGCATAAGCACTCTCTCCCCTTCCTCCTCTCCTTTGTGTTGTCATTTTCTATTGTTTTTATGACAGCACGGAGAGCAGATCTTACAATACCCCCTGCAACTATTTTCTGGAGTATTTGCTACATTTACACTCGGTCATATCTGAACTTAGTTTTCCCGACTTTTACGACAGCCTTTTGCCATAAAAAGGAAAGTGAAACAGTTGACCCATCACTGTCTCACTATTAACATTTCCTTAAGATGAGCTTTATCTCAGGTTCAGTAGGAAGCTGGTGTGTAGCGGTATCACTTGGAGACTGTAGGGGACATTCTGCCTTAGAGTTTTATCCAGCCAGATTTCTTCGGCATATAGGAGATGCATGCTCATTACTAGCTCTTTAGAGAAAGCAACTAATCTAGTCTGCTGTTTGCACACATGGGAGAGATTCAGAGCTGTGTCCTTTCCTGCCATCTCTATGATGCTGCATTGAATGTGGCAGAGCGGAGGCAGTGGGAGTGTACACGTACCCTTGAATTTGGACACTTCTGTTGAGCCCTCTGGACCTAATGCTGGAGGAATGCTGTTAGCACTCTTCCCACCAACACACACACACTGTCTTCCTTTGTAACCTGGCACTTGACAGTTTCAGTGATCAGTCTGGGTGAATAAGCATTAGGACCGTAGGGCTAAGAGTGACACAGTGCACCTTTGTATTAATTAGGCTGTCTGCTCCTCCTATCTTTGGCACTGCATTCGAAGGGGTATAATAATAATAATAATTATTCTCAACACACTTCTGTCTGCCTTTGGAAACCTATATCTAGGACTTCTTATTTGAAAATTCTTTTTATGCACATTTTCTCTTCTCTACATGCTAATTATTCTGTGTTTCAAATCAAAGCTCATGCTTGCTAATGGTGGCCATTTTCCAGGTTTTAAAATACACTGACAGTCTTTCTGTTGTTTACATTACACTGTCCAAGTGTCTAGTGGCATGGAGACAAAAGCAACTCCAAATCTCTCCCTTCCCTGCACATCTTATAATGTGAGTGTGTAGTTCAAGGCAGCTTTTCAGTAAAATGGAATATGATCACCTTTGTATTTTTTTTTTAAATGAGCCATGTCAGGCAGTGAAATAGACTGTTTGCATTTGTCATCCAGACATTGGCAAAACCATATAATTAAAATATATGTACTTCCCTCTCCTCGCCGCCACCCCCACTCCTCCCCCCCGCCCCGACTCAAGCAGGCCTTGAAATTTAGGAAGCATTTGGCTTACATGTTTCTACAGAACAGCGCATATTGAAATTTGTTTTCCTTTCATCTCTTTCCCAATAAAAGCAGCCGCTCGGCTTATCCCTTTAGCTTCCTCAGAACTTCCTTTCAGAATTCCCGATCTATTACAGCACATTCACATACCAGAAACAAGATGCCTTTTCATGCTGTCAACCTTTTTCATCTGAAATGTAAATTAATTCTTGCTGGTACGCTTTGACAGAGATCAAAGTAGGGGTATTAACCTTATTGGGCCTTCTCTTCATCAGAATCAGTTCCAAAGACTGCGAGGGTAGTGTTAGGAGGCCAGTCTTCACTGTTATCTATGGCCCTCCTCCAGGCAGTCCTCTGTCTACAAGTCAGCATTTCAAAGGCGCTGATTTCTTTTGTAAATGACCTTATCATTACTTTAAACTGTGTGAAAAATGATTTGCCTGAATAATTCTTGCAGGATTATCCTGCTCATTTTAATTGTAGGGGGACTTCATTCAGATTCCAGGATATTGTTTAAGTGATTTTGACAGCAAGTGATCATAGCCTGATATAAAGGAGGAACACAGCTCCTGATTGGAAACCTCTTGACTTGTTCAGATTGTTCATTTCTTGCAAGTCAGTCTTTGAGGTAGGCTGCATTTGCATTTTAAAAATAAACAGATGCCTTTCAAATACATGAGCTGGTGGTCTGGAGATCTCTGTGGGCCCAGCAGTTCACTATCCATTGAAGAAATGTTGGAAGAAAAAACAAACTTAGGAAAAAAACAACCCTCACAATATACATGAGGATACAATTCCTGAGTGTATTATATCACATGAAAAAAAGTCCTTATTTCAGAGGGGGGAAAACACCCTTGCTAGGAAACAAAGTATTTGTGAGTTTAAATTAGGTGGGGAAGAAAAAGCTACCCTACTTCAGCCTATCTACATCACAGGTTCTCAGAATACACAGATGTTATCAGACTCATGGCTAAAATGATACATAAGGTACACAAGGTCTTTCCAACTTCTTCCAGTCACACTTTCCCAAACTGTGAAGGTTAGAAAATGCTGATTTTTAACTTGGAGACGAATTTTAAAGAATGATTTTGTGTAAAGTGTTTGTGTTAACAATACTTTGCACTTCTGAGTATTTCTTTGTAATCGGGATTTGTATTGTTTTGATTTACATCTGAATAAAAGGAAAAATATTTTCTTAAAATATACAATTTTTTAAAATTATGTTGCCAGATTCACAGCTGGTTTAAATCAGTGTATATCCAATGAATCATCTGACTGAAATGTTGCTGCACTGATTTACCTCACATGCAAGTCTCATTTAATGTTTCTTTGTATTAGAATAATGAATTAATTAGAATTTAAAACAACAGATAATACAATTATAAAAGTATCTTTTCTAGTTTTGATAGATAGCACGTATTTCCATGCAGTGTGACTGTGGTCCCGAAAGACTTAAGGGAGGATTTTAATCTGGTTATTTCATTTGTGAACTGACATTGCCAAAATACCAAATGAGTGGTGCATGCGATTCACTCAGATCCAAGGTGACATCACTGAATTCATTTTAATTAGGCCCACTTTAGCCATCTGGAATATACTGTGCAGCTCTGGTCAGGACTGAGTTTAACTATGCTTCCAGAGGTGAAAGGCAAATGACTAATCCATTGAGCCACCATCTCCTCCTCCAACACGTGCTCGCACACTCACCATATGTCACGTTGTATTGGAAAATTCTTTATCAAGAACTCAAGATTTGGGCTCTTTTTTTTTTTTTTTTTTTAAATAAAAAGCGGTGGATGTTCAGAAGGAAACCAGATGAAGCATCCCTTTGTAAATTGCTTTCTTTCTGTAACTTCTGCCCATGCAATGTTGCTCACTATTTACATTTCTGTAACATGTGCTTCTGGCAAAATTTACTCCATTATAATAAAAAAAAGAGCGCCTGAGAACAGCTGTAATTTAGTATTTTACATTTATAATAAATGTATGCTTTTAATAAAAGTGTTACCTTTGGGATTTTCAACAGCAAAGATTTAATGTTTGCTTCAATAGAAGACAAGGAAGTATTTCTTGAAAACCCTATATTTATCCATCTATTTATATCACTATGTACATGTGTGTATACATGTATTCGGCCAATACTGTTATACAGATCTAAGAGTTACACAAGTAAAATGTTCCAAAAACTTTTAAGGACTGTATAAATGTATCTAAATATATATATATATATTAATTTTCCTGAAAATAACAGCCACTAAGTAACAGATCCATTTTTACTTTTTTCTGTCATTAATTTTTCTTCCTTTTAACTACATTGTCATTGTAAGAACCATTGAAGAGATGTATGTGTTTCTCTTAATGGCAGCTGAACCTTGTGTTAGCTTGATTTCACATTCAGGGTAAACCAGACTGGTTTGTACAGGTTGCACAGCTTTGGTTAACTTTATTCTTCCATCTCTCTGTGTTCCATACTAGCTTAGGGCATCCAGTAATGCTTCACTTTTAGTATCAGTCTCTAGTAATCATTAAAAGCCTGCTGCTCACGTGCAGGGAACATGTTAGGAAAAGTGGGAAGGCCTCATGGTTTTAAAGTGTGAGGTCCTATAGTTTCATC